CCCGGATCATATATTACCATCATGGGGGGTGGAAGAGGCCCTAGGAATAGAAGGAAACATCAGAAGCACTGGATCCTTTTGGACACCTTAAACATCTTAACCATCTGAAGGAATGCTTGAAAACATCGAATGACCTTGGGGAACCTCCGGACAGAACCATCATCATCTTTGTGGAGTTGTTATATGTGAAGTTTCATGAGCATTTTTAAATTTAAACTTAAGTTTAAATCTAACTCTGTATTTGGAATGGTTTTTAAATGTATATTTATTTTTAATACTGAGAACTTTGTTTTATTGTTGCAATATTTATTGCCTGTTAGCCGCCCTGAGCCCTACGGGGGAGGGCGGGATATAAGTTTAATAAATAAATAAATAAATAAATAAATATTGCAGGCTAAGGAAGAGTGATTTACAGAAGGCTTACAGTGAAGTCTGCTATTATTCCCTGTATGGCAGTTGGTGGGCGAATGAGGCTGAGAACATAACTTATGACCTACCAATGTAGCCCAACATTATTACTGCATTTTGGAGAGAAAAGGCAACAGTAAAATATAACTGTCCTTCAAAATAGTCCTTTCGGTTAGTCTTTTTCCCCACCACCAGATGAGAGAGGGTGTAAGTTGGTTAAGCTTTGGATGCAAGGAACAAGATGGTGTCATAAAGTATCATTGGTGTGGAAGGTTAGAAAAAGGTTTTTTGGGTAGGAGGGGAGATAGCAGGTGAGAAAAGAATAAAGTGGATGATAGAAATAGCATGTGCACGTTGGGCATTACAGAAGAAACACTTTGTAAGCTCAGAGCTAAAAGGCCCATCTGATCCAGCGTGCTGTTCCCACAAATGGCAAGCAGGGTGCTTCTGTGAAACCCATAAGTGAGGCATAGGCGTAAAATTCGTGGGGGCGGCACGGCGGCAGAAGAGGCCCCCCACTGCCTCCCCAGGCCCGCGCCAGAGTGCTGCAGACCGCGGGAGCCCAGAAGAGGTCCCCCGCCACTTTCCCGGCCCACGCCGGAGCGCTGAAGAAGCCACCTCATCGCCTTCCCAGGTAAGGGAGGGATCCGTGGGGGTGGCAGGGGCTTGATTGGGGGTTGGGAGAGCCTCCCTCCCTCTCCCCATCTCTTTGCCTTCTTTCTTTCCCTCCTTTCCTTTCCCTCCTTTTCTTTCTTTCTTTCTTTCTTTCTTTCTTCTGTCTTCCCTACTCTTCCTTCCTTCCTTCTTTTCCTTCTTCTTTCCTTCACTCTTTCTTTCCCACTTTCCCTCCTTCTTCTCTTCTTTCTTTCCCTCCTTTCATTCTCTCCTTTTCATCCATCTTTCCTTCTTTCTTTTCCTCTTTCCTCCCTTCTTTCCTTCTCTTTTTATTCCCTCTTTCCTTCCTTCTTTCATTCTTTCTTTCCCTCTTTCCTTCCTTCATTCCTTCTCTCTCTCTCTCTTTCCTTCCCTCTTTCCTCCTTCTACAACCCAACTCTAGTGAGAAGGGGTTTAAACTTTAAACCCCTTCTCTCTTCGCTCCCCCCCCCAGGCCGGCTGGGGAACGGGAGGCTTTTGAAGATGCCCCTCCCCCTTTGCTTCCCCTTCTGACATCACTTCCGGTAATGTCAGGGGGCGTTGCATATGCTAATGAGCTATTATGCTAATAGCCAACATCTGTGAAACCATTGTCTGGAAGGCCTTTAGCCCCACTATCATTAACACTGGCAGAGGTATAGTAAATTTTAGCCACTGATCTTTTGGCCCGATGCATGTGTAGTTAGGATAGTAAATGACTTGCGATTGAGGAGCTGGTGTCTGAGAAATGGTCTCCTGCTATTTGCACCTAAATGGAGACTTGGCACAGCATTACGTTCAAAGTAAAAGGCACAATGTTCATTCTTGTTTCTCTAAATTGTAGCGGTAGCTAGGGATGGGCATGAAGTGGCTCACAAATTTAAGTTTGCGATGAATTTTGGCCAGTTAGCGGTTCATGAACGAATGTTTGCAAACTGAAGATCCACCATGCACTTCAATGAATTTTAAGGCAGTTCATGAAGAGCAGAAAGCAGGGATTTAAATGTATCCAAGCCATTTAAACTCCTGTTTTCTTTTCCCCACCACTTTTTACAGGGAAACCCCGCTTTCTGCTCCCTGCAAAAAACAGCAGGGAGCAGAAAGCAGGGGTTTAAATGGTTCGGAGCCATTTAACTCCCTGCTTTCTGCTCCCTGCCACTTTTTGTGGGGAGAACCCCTGCTTTCTGATGCCTGTGAAAAGTGCCTGTGAACCAACCTTCTGATTCATATCAGTTTGTGGTTCAGTACATGGTTTAGCCAGGAACCTAAATGAACCACAAAAATGTGGTTCGTGCCCATCCCTAGTGATAGCAGTTAGATCTTTAGTAACCTTTGACAGTAACATTCCAAGAAAACTTTGCTTATTATATTCACTGCCAGAGAAAAGTGACAGAGGCAATGGAATTTACTGGCATGATTTAGCTGAATCTGGCAGATAGTATCATCCAAAAAAACCTCTGTGATCTCAGTACATACACTGTGCTGACAGAGACAGCCTCTAAGCATACAAAGGAGGTCTACTGCAACAGTAGATCCTCTGGGGCTCTTTAGGATATTGCACATATTTGGGAACTCTGGTGAAATGCAGGCAGGACAACCTGGAGCAGGGTATGGCATGCTGAATGTCTCTACATGGTTTTTTTCATGTTGCAAGTGGAAATTGTGAGGCACAGTGGCTTTTTGCTATGATCATAGGATCCTATAGATCGGGCATCTTGCTTGCTGTGTCACAAGCATGCCTGAAAATCTGGGGTACAGAGAGTATAAGTCTATTCTGGATAGTACCCCTAAGCTTCAGCTGCAGACTTGGGGTCGATCTGTAGAGAAGTAGTGTGTGTGTTTTATGTGGACAGGATAGCAACTGTAGTAGCTTTTTAAACGTAAAGGTAGAATCGTCCCACCAGGCTTATTAACCTAGTGAGCAATTTAGTGCAGGGTTGTAGATTAGATTCTTCAACGTCTCCCCACATCACCTGGTTCTACTGCAGAAGGTGAACAGGTCTGGCCCTGTCGGCTGGAGAATCTCCTGCCTACCTCCCCATCCCAGTCAGTTGCTCTGAGCTCTTTGGAAGAAGATCAGGGTAGAAGTATGATGCATCCATAAATGGTGGTGGTGGTGGTGATGGGAATAAAAAGTGAGTTGTCAGGAATTAAATACTTTTCTCCCCATCATCCCTATTGAATCAAACCAGGGGCCAAGTAGTGTATCTTTCTTCCAACAGCGGCCAGCCAGATGCTGTCGGGACAAGGGCAGACCCATGTAGAGAGCGTTGCAGTAGTCCAATCTCGAGGTGACCATTGCGTGGATCACCGTTGCCAGGTCATTGTGTTCAAGGAATGGAACCAGCTGCCTATTAGCTGTAGATGGTAAAAGGTTGCCTTGGCAGTGACTGCTACCTGGGCCTCCATTGTTATGGTGGCATCCAGGAGCACTCCCAAGCTCCTGACCCTCGGTGCTGGCACCAATGGCACCCCGTCGGAGGTCAGTAATGGGATCCCTAACCCCAACCCGCTCCAACTTAGGCACAGGATCTCCGTCTTTGTCGGATTCAATTTTAATCGGTTCAGTCTCAGCCAGCCCGCCATGTCCTGAAGTGCCCGATTCAGGTCCTCTGGGGTAGAGTCGGACTGACTGCCCAACAACAGATATAGCTGGGTGTCATCCGCGTATTTGTGACACCCTAGCCTATGCCTCCGGGCAATCTGGGCAAGGGGGCGCATGTAGATGTTAAATAACACTGGGGATAGCACTGCCCCTTGGGGGACCCCACAAATCAGCGGGTGCCTCTGGGACATCTGCTCCCCTAACGCTACCCTCTGTCCCTGACCTTGGAGAAAGGAAACAAGCCATTGCAAGGCAAGCCCCTGAATCCCCATGCTGGCGAGGCAGTGGATCAGAGGTGAAGTAACTATTGTAAGCATTTGACAATAAACTTATTTAATTAAAATGTCACCTTTGCTGGTTTTGGAAAATAGTTGGTCATTACTACTCGATGGGAAATAGCTCTCATTGAAAAGAGAGGACTTTGGAGTGCTGAGTGTCATTTGGCTCATGCACTCGATAGGTAATTCCATAGTAACGTTTGCAACAACTTGCAAGTGAGACAAACATTTCTATATTATGGTTGAGAATAATACCCTGATGCTTAACAGACTTGCTTGCCCATCCTCCCTGGAAGTTGAATATATGTGGTTTGATACTTGGGTCCCAGGTCAGAATGGCTTCAGAGCAATTCCTTTTCCATTAATATACTCGTGGCATGTTTTGTGCTAGTCCAGGCATGAGTCCTTCTCCTGTTAGCAGGCAGAATTGCATTTGGAATGGCTACTGCCTTACTCCACCAACTGCTCACCCACTTCTAGCACCAGGGAGCCTTGAGTTGTTCTAGTACAACATTCATTCTGTTATATTAAAAAAACACCACTAGTTTATGCCACTTTGAGCCTTCCAAAGTGTGTCTCATCAGTAGTTCTTACAACAATGTAAGGCAATATTATTGCAGATTTGGAAGGGAGGGGATGACTGCATGACTTATATAATAAATGTTAGTCTTTACTCGGGATTTTTTGTGATTATACTCATACAGAGAACTGGCACCTTTTTTTCAGGGCTTTCCCAAGTCCAGTGGCGGGGTGGGGGTGGGGTGGAATTGGTGAAAACTGGCAGAGCCTCATATTAAAAGGGCACAAAAAACCCCACACAATTGTATTTACCAGGGTTCTGTTTTATTTTGCTACAACAGAGTAAGACAGCTACCCCTATGGAATTGTCTAAGACCATCTGGTTACCTCTTGCTAGAAGGAGATCTGAATCAGGCACTTTCCCATTTCAGTACAGCTTACTAATTCCAAAAACCTCTTTTTTAAGAAAGAAAAAAGATCAACTATGAAGCAGGCAAAGATTCAGACATGATCCTGAGAGGGCAGAATGTGCAGCCTGACTGCTGTTAGTGTTCCTTTTAGCAATGCAAAATTCAAATTCACAAGGCATGACATTTGGGCTAGTATTTTGGAGGGGAAGGTCTGACTGTCATGACAATCTGACAAAAGTGCAGTGAATTCCATGGCCACAATGTCAGTTCCAATGACAAGTTCTTGGGTGAATCTATACTACAAGTAAAAGCCAATAGTACAATGGGGACAGCTGCTTCAGAAATGCATTTAGATAATTATGGAAGAAGAAAGAAAAAACATTTTAAAAAAACTCCAGGACCTCAAACCAGTGAAAGACAGGCCTTTCTACTTAACACTTCCTCCAATGTTGAGATTCAAAGTTTGAATCTCCAGTAACAAACTGTAGCAATGACTATATACACAGTGTGTAAAGACATTTATTTTTCTTAGACATTTTTCTTAGAAATTAGTCAATCAGACACAGAAAGTGAATTAAAATTAATGCAGTCTTTCAGACAGTAAGACTACCCATCCATGGTTGTCTTTGAAAAGGATTACTGTTGAATATAACACTGAGTACTTTTAATTAAAGAGCTGCCATAGTGGGATCTTCACAGCTGTTGGACATGATAAAGGAAATGCTTCCAAAGGACTAAATATGGTGCAGTCTCAGAATTTCATGAATGGTACTTGAAATGGTGTATCTGTGGCATGCTTCAAGGCCAAAGCATAAGCATAAACTTTGGCATCCACTATAAGGTGCTCTACTGTCACCAGCTCTGAAAGAAAAAAATGTTTTTAGAACAGGCCTCACTACTGTTCCAAAGAGCACTAATGGTATGTATATCATAGATTTCTCTCATATGCATTGAATACAGTTCAAACAACTATTAGACACTTGGGTTATAGGCTGCTGTTCAGAATGCAACATTTTAGCTTAATGCAAATATTCCTTCTGAGGCACAGTTGCAACCCAAAGCACATTTGTACAATGCAAACATAAGTACTCTTCTTGTATATGGTTCTGTTAGCATGCATGGCAAGTTTGCTTGCTAAGGCTGCACCTCCCCATAGTTCAACTGGGTGGTTGCTTCCCATGTGATTAAGAGCATTTAAGGATTCTCACTAGGGGTGTGAAATCCCCCCCCCCCAGTATTTTTTTGGTTCAGGTCTATTGGATTTGAAATTTTTTGGGATTCCCACAAGATCCTGGATCCCAATACTGGTACAGAATTCAGCTCTGGGATTTTTGGGAAATCCCGAATTTCTTCGGCTCCAATAGACCTGGGGGATGGGGGACAGAAAATAGCAAAAGCCAGCCTGAAGCTGAGCCAGTGGGAAGCACTCCACTCCCCGCTGGCACAGCTGATCTCCAGGCTGTCTTCTTCAGTCTCTTTCAACTTTAAAGAGACTGCAGTAGAAGCGTGACAAACAGCTGAGAGGCTGGAGCAATCTGCTCCAGTCTCTCTGCTGTTTTTCGGATATACCTGGTAATTCCCAAATATATCTGGATTTTTTCAGGAATCCCCCTCCCCCCTTGGAAAACACCTGAATACCTTTGGGATTCCAAAATATACCCCAAAATTACTGGTATTCTTCAGGTATTATATTTTTGGCTTGGGTAGATCTGAACACCCCCACCCCCAATTTTCAAAGCTGTACAGAAGCCTAACACATGAGCTACTGAGATGGGGGCGGGCAACCACAAAAAGAGTAACATTACCTAGAAGCTAGGACCCTGTTGTGATAACTACAAATAACTGATTCCTGTGTGGATAATGAGATCCACACAATGGGGCTTGCCAGCATTCTGCAAACTCGGGGGAAACTATATACTCTAAAGGCAAAACACAAAAGTGAATAATGATGTCAGTATATGTGCAGATATTGTAGAGCAAAACTGCTGATGTTCAAACACTGTTTAGGATAAATGGTGCATAACAATGGGCAATGCCAAAGAGAGGTGGCAGTGGGAAAACAGGAATGGGCATGAACCACATTTTTGCTGTTCAGTTCATGGCTCATGGCTGAACCACGAACCTACATGAATGGATATGGCAGTTCCCAAACCAAGCCTGTTTGTATAGGCTCATGAGCAATTTAAACCCTTGCTTTCTGCTCTCCATGAAAATAGTGGAAAGCAGAGGTTTAAATGACCCTGAGCTATTTAAACCCTCCAATTCTTCTCCCCCCCCCCCGAAGTAGCAAGGAGCAGATCAGGAAGGTTTAATACTCTGTTTTTGCTCTCCACCACTTTGAAGCAGGGGGAAACAAAACCAGAGGGTTAAATATGGGAGTGAAGTGTTTCCAGGGGGTATTTCACCCCCTCCTTTCTGCTGGCCAGCAAAAAAGAAGGGGGGGAAGTGCCTCCCAGGGGGCACTTCAACCCCTCCTGTCTGCTGGCTGTGCCCAGCAGAAAAGTAGTGGTAAAATGCCCCCGGGAAGGTGCCTCACCCATTTAAACCCTCCTTTCTGCTCCCCTTGGCTTTTCATGGGGAGCATAAAGCAGGTGTCGTAAGTCCATCTGCTCAATGACAGCACAGATTCCGGAAACAAAGAGCTACCTGCATCTGGTCCTCAGCCAGTAACTGAACAACTGGCTGCAGCTGGCTCTGAGCCAGGAGAAGAGCAACATGAGGTCAGGTTACTGGCTGAGCAGACGTGAGGTCAGGTTACTGGCTGAGCCTACATCTGAAACCAAGCGGATGCCTTATACCTCTGAAGCAGTAAACAAGGCTTCAGAAGCCACTCCCAGCCCACCTAGCTCACTCACACCCCTGCAGCGCCAACCCTGTTACAGGCAAACTGAGTTGCAGGAAAGGAGGAGTGCAAGACTCATGGACCATCGTCAGCTGTCAACTGATGAGATGGATGAGTGGTTTCAGGGTAACTGCCAAGGAACTGGCTGGGAGTATAGCTTGTTAACACTTGGCTATAAAGTCAGTCCGGAGAAAGCAGTTTGCGGGTGCAACAAGTACACTTTGCTACTGAACCACCAACCTTGCTGTTACCAGACCTCTGCAACTTTGAACCTTGGACTGGACCTGACAACTGGCTTTTTTGGAAACACTGGACTGGACTTGGAGTTGCTACCTGGAATTCCATGACCCTAGATTGGACTTTGTGAAACCTGTTCTCCGGAACCTCTGATTTTGGACTGTACTCTGATTACTCTCTCTCTGTCTCTCTGCTATCCTTGGCATGACACCTATTCCCTGGGAGGGCTGGGCCAGTACAGCAGGACCATTCAAATCCTGCTTTTCTGCTCCTTGCAGAAAGCTGCAGGAAACAGAAAGCAGTGGTGGTTTAAATGGCTCCAAGCCACTCAGCTGTTTCTCTGCTTTCTGCTCTTCACAAACCATTGCACCAAAATTCGTGGAAGTTTGTTGTAGTTCTTCAGTTCATGAACTTTGGCTCGTGAACCCCGAACAGGACAAAATTCATGATGAGCTTTAGTTCATCAGTTGGTTCATGCCCATCCCTATGGGAAAGTGGGATTTCTCCTCCCTTGCCATTCCTTATAGGACCCTCTCTTTTCACTTCTGAAGTTGCAAGAGCATTTATTAACCTATTTCCTACCAATCTGTGCACAGAACACAGCATTTTCCTGTGTTTCTCTCTGTTCCTGCAGCCCCTTCCAACCTCCCAGAAGACCATTCCTGGGGTTGTGGGACTTGAGTGGAGGAACGGGGGGGGGCGCTGTGAGCACTGAAGTGTTGAGTGTTTTCAGGTGAGCTAGAATGACTTGTATGGTTTCATGGGGAGACAGAATTCAGACCTATCTTCTTACCACGCACTTCCCAAGCTTCTGAAGACATGGGGGGGGGGTGTGTGGAATGAAAAGCAGTCTGACTGCTGACTTATTGGGATGGTATCAGAAACAGGGAGTAAACACTGCTGCTCAGAAGACTGATGCCACGTAAGAGAAATCTCACAATGAAGAGCTTCTCTGTCATGGAAAACACAAGCTTCCCACAGAAAATCCTGCCAAAACTCAAATCTGCAGCACCTGCCACAGTCTGAAGCTTTTCCTCACTGACTACACTTACCCTCAATTCTCTGCAATAAATCATTCTTCGGTAGCGTAACTACTTCCACAAATTCTGAGGGGGGGAAATCAGAAAACCAAGTCACAACTTCAGTTTTGCTACATTCTACAAGGCAACCTCCTTTTAATCTAAAAAAAGATTTTAAATAATGTGAGAATTAACTATTTTAGGACCCAGAGAAAATGGAGACCTGGCTAGCCTCTGTGCTCCTCAAGACAGTTTCAAAATCACATTGAAGATGACACACTAGTGCAGGGGTGGCCAAATTAGCTTAATGCCAGAGCCACAAGACATGAACAAATATTACACAGTTTTTAATTGAAAAATATGCAGATGTGCTTTTTATTAAATGATACTGCCAAAAATAAAAATAACAAAAGGGGCAAAACAGGTATAGATTATGATATTTATTTGTCAAATTATATTTATTTGTTTGCTAATGATATTTGTCTAAGAGAGAGAGAGAGAGAAATGTGGAAAGAGAGAGACAAAGCAAATCGATGGGGGGGGGAGGCGGAAGGAAGGAAGAACGAATGGGAGAAAGAAAGGTTGAAAGAAAGCAAATAGATGGGGGAGGGAGGAAGGGAGAAAGAGAGAGACAAAGAAAGCAAATAAATGGGGAGGGAGGAAAGGAGAGAGAGAGAAAGAAACAAAGTAAATAGGTGGGGAGGGAGGAAGAGAAAGAAAGAAAGAAAGAAAGAAAGAAAGAAAGAAAGAAAGAAAGAAAGAAAGAAAATAGATGGGGAAGGAGAAAGGAAGGGGGAAGGAGAAAGGAAGGGGGAAACAGAAAGGTGGAAAGAAAGCAAAAAGATTTGGGGAGGGAGGGAAGGAACGAAGGAAGGAAGAAGTGAAAAGAAAGCAACTTTAAATATGTTCTCCAATGCCCCCATGCCAGCTGGCTTGGCAAAGGGATTTAAAGAGACTAATGCCTTCTCCAAGCTCCCTACTGCCACACCAGCTTGACTTGGAGAAGGGATTTAAAGAGACAAATGCCCTCTCTGAGCCAAGCCAGCGGATCAGTTTGGTGGTTTGGTGGGGCTTGGAGAACACATTTAACTTTAGATGGGGAGGGAGGGAAGAAAGAGAGAGAGAAAGGAAGGTGGAAAGAAAGGAAGTGGAAAGAAAGCAAATAGATGGGGGGAGGGAGGGATAGGTGTAAAGAAAGCAACTTTAAATGTGTCCTCCAACCTCTCCCGCCTCCAAGCCAGCCGGCAGGGGGGAGGCTTTGAGAAAGCATTTAAAGTTAAAGTTGCTTTCTTTCTCTGCTCCCCCCACCTCAAACCTACCCAGGGAGGGGAACACTAGCTGAGGAAGGGAAGACTGATCAGAGAGGCATGCCTCCCCTTTGCTTCCACAGCCATCCTGCCGGGAGCTGCACAATATGTGTGAAAGAGCAGCGCATGAGGCTCCCGAACCATATTTTGGCCATTCCTGCACTAGTGTGACTCTGCCTCCAGGCTAAGGGCTTCACAATTGCCCGCCTGCCTCCTAGCTATTGGAGATGAAGAACAGCCCCAGTGTCTACAAGGAGAAGCAGACAAGATAACACTTCATATTATGATAATCAGTTGAAATAATTCTTTAATTCATTCATTTATATACCGCCCTCCCCGAAAACATCCATTAGAATAGTACAGTTAGAGCAATGTTAAAATGACAATTTAAACTGGATAAAATAATAAAATATGTAAAAACAAATAGATCAGATGTCAATTCAGATTGTTTAAAATATAGTGGTAGGTGCCCTGATGTCTATTTCAGTTTCAGGCCACTGATGGGAGAATGGGGGGAGTGTCCACCACCTCAACCAAAAGCCCGGTGGAACAGCCCAGTCTTGCAGGCCCTGCAGAACTGCAATCAGTCCTGCAGGACCCTGATCTCTCATGGGAGCTCATTCCACCAGGTGGGGGCCAGGGTCGAAGAAGCCCTGGCCCTGGTTGAGGCTCGTCGGACGTCCCTGGGGCCAGGGATCACCAAGAGATGTTGGTTTGTGGGCCTGTAGTTTAGAAGTGTAGTTTCCTCATAGTTCTTTGGCCTTTGCAGGGAGCCATTAGCCAGAGCTGACTTCAGCCCAAGTGCCTCTGTGGCTGGACACAACATGGCAGTTGGCTGCTGCTGCTGATTTTCACTTACTAAGAAGAAGGGCCTGGTGGAAAGTGCTGTTAAGTCACAGCTGACTTATGGCAACCCCCCGTAGGGTTTTCAAGGCAAGAGACATTCAGAGGTCTCCCATTCAAATGGTAGCCATGGCCAATCCTACTTAACTTTTGAGATCTGACAAGAATGAGTGGGAGGGCTTCTAAGGTCCTGGCCCCACTGGTGGACCTCCTGATGGCACTGGTATTTCTGGCCACTGTGTGACACAGAGTGCTGGAGTGGATGGGCCTTTGGCCTGATCCAACATTGGCGTCTCTTATGTTCTTATGTTCTTATGAGACAGGGCCGAGACAGGGCGAATGAGACCCTAGAAATCACAAAAATCCTTTGGGAAAAAAAATTCCAATGTGAATTTAAAATATATTTCTTTGAGGGGATTGAAAGAAGGATTAAGGGAATGGATTTTGAATCCCTGTCAGTGTCTAGCAGAGCTGCAGTGGCTCAAGTGGTTAAGACACTGAACTGCAGGCTGTGGAAGGTCAGTAGTCCAGCAGTTCGAGACCAGAGTGCCGCATGATGGAGTGAGCTCCCATCTCGAGTTCCAGCTCTTGCCAACCTAGCAGTTCGAAAGCAAGAAATTGCAAGTAGATAAATAGGTACCACTTCAGTGGTAAGGTAACAGCATTCCGTGCGCCTTAGTGTTTAGTCATGCCGGCCACATGACTGTCTTCCGACAGCTTTGAAACGGAGATGAGCACCGCAACACTAGAGTCGGATTCAACTGGCTTTCGAGCAAGGGAAACCTTTACCTTTTAGGTAAGGAGAAGAGAGAAGTCCAGTAGAGATAAGGTAGAGGAAACTAGTCCTCTCCATTACTTTCTCAGCCAGTTTTCAGTCGTAGGAATCCTGTACAATCAAGCCCTCCACACGTATCACAGCAAACATACACGCAGTCACCTAAATGATTGGATGATCAAGCAGCATACTTATCTGCGGTTCCAGCTACAGTGAACTTAAGTGTACCACATACCTCCTTCAGCTGTATACAAAAAACAAAAAGCACAAATATGGGAAACTGCATGTTTTGGAGCATTAAATCCTGAATGTTTGCATTACAGTATCAGACTTCAATGGCTGGATCAAATCACTGCAGCTCTCTTACAGTATCCTGCTTTGGGATGTCACTGGGCCAAAGAGATTTTGGCTGTCTTTTCATGTTCCTTAGCAGTGGCTTGTTTTTGTTCTGTTGTCACAACGGTTAAGGCTGCTTCCCAGAGGGCATCTGAAATATCTTCCCAGATCTCCAAAGAGGAGCAAATGTGGGTGTTTGGACGGGGAAAAGCACAGATTGCAGGACTACTGGCACTAAAGTTGTGAGCAAATGATTTGGCTACTGCATGAATCAGTTTGCTCTGGAGCCATCCTTCCTGAGCTAAGACAAAAATGTGTGAGCCAGAGGCTAAAAAACTGTGAGCTAGCTCACACTAACTCAGCTTAGAGGGAACACTGACCACAAGATCGAGAAAGCCACCTCTGCCTCCAAAGAACTCTGCCTGTCAGTTTCCACCTTTCCCAGCAGGCCTAATCACAATCTGGGCCTGTTAACACCCGCCCTTCAGCTCATCCCTTCTGAACAATTCTTCCCATTTCCCTATCCTTTGCCACCACGCATCCCTCCCTTGTGCCCTAAAGTCCCTCTCTTTGGCCTCCTCAACTGACACCCTCCACAACACACAGCAGCTGCTTCACTTTGACCCCAGTCCCAAGAGACTCCCTACTGGGGAGGGGGCGCACACTGTGCAGCAGCCTCCTGCGTGTAAGGAGAAGAGAGGGTAGAGTTCATTTGCCCCACAAGGGGGAGGTGAGTTCTGGATAATTTTGTCTTGCATTTTGGCTTGCACGCAGCTCACAAGCCATTCAAGAACTACTAACCCACCCACCCCTGCACCGGTCGTGTCTGTAATGTGACAAGAGGTCACATAATTCTGGACCACACAGCTTCAGTTTGGGAGGCATAATTATATCACAGAACACTTAGAGAGGAGCCATCACTCAGCAGTAGAGCATCTGCTTGGCATGCAGAAATTCCTAGGTTCAATCCCCAGCATCTCCAGTTCAAAGGATCAGGTAGCAGGCGAGGTGGAAGACCTCTGCCTGAGACCCCAGAGAGCCAGTGCCAGCCAGTCAGAAGAGACTATAGTGACGTCCTCAAGACACCAAAGGTCTGACTCAGTAAAAACCAGCTTCATGGGTGTCCCTGCATGAAACACTGCAGCATGCCAGAATGGAAAGTTTATCATAGCCTGTTTCTAATAATGTACTATATGCATGGAACTATTTAATACATGCCACCTTCAATATGAAATGGTCAAATCTGGAAAAATGGCACTACCTCATTCTGTGTGATGGACAGAACAGCTCTTGGTTTCTGTCTACCAGGGCAGTTAAGTGTATTTTCCTCTTATATTGACTGAAACCTATAATTAGGAGTTATATTTGGTTCCTGGGATCATGTGCTAAACCCAGCACAATTTCATTTAACCCAAGGAGAATGAAATACAAGTTTTCCTTCTTGAAACCATTATTTTGACAGTAGGAAGAAAGAAACTGTATCAAAGAGAACAGACTCACCAGGCTTCTGTTTGGGCTTCAGATTGACAGGACTGTCCCCATTGATGGTCACGGTCGCAATGTGTGACGTGCAGTTTGTCAAGCCTGGGTCCAAACACAGGGCTAAAACAAAGCATTGTGGCATAAATCATCTTGGGAAACAAGAACCAGAGGCCTGGTCAGAACTTGTGGAGCCAATGATCCTCATCCAAAGGCAGACAAAATTTTACTCCAACAAACAAAATGTACAAAGCACAGCACAGAATCTGGGTCCGAATCTATTGCTCTGAAGAACCAGATCCAAAACTCTGCTGTATCACAGCATGCCACAGGGTATCATGCTGATGCCAGTCACCAGATTCTTGAGATCCAGCAGACACCAGAAATAGCTGGAATCCAGAAAACTGGATGGTGAAGGAACTGGCCTGCAACTAACAGTGTGGCTGTGATTTGGGGCACAATCCTGAAGGCTCCCACTGGAGAGCAGCCCCTGTTGAACCTCCTTCCCTGTGCAGGAGCTGCAGCAACCACTCTGACCAGCTGTAGCAGGGGCCAGGGCTGTCTGGCCACCCACAAGCAGGCATGCCTGGGATTTCCCCCACTGTACTAGGGGTATAGAGATGTTAGTGTCACTCCAACAGAGAACGTTTGGTAAAATGGTTAAGTGTGTGGACCCTAATCTGGGAGAACTGGGTTTGATTCCTCACTCCTCCACTTGCAGCTGCTGGATGACCTTGGGCGAGCCACAGTTCTGTCAGAGCTGTCCTTGAAAGAGCAGTTCTTGAAAGAGCGGGGAGGGGAAGGAGTTTGTAAGCCGCTCAGAGACTCCAAGTGAAGGGCGGGGTATAAATCCAATCTCTTCTTCTTCTCCTTCATTATATCCTCACAACAACCCCATAAGGTAGGTTAGGCGAAGACTGTATGACTGGCCCAAGGTTTCCCAGCAATGCTCATTAAATTTACAGATTATACTAAATTAGGAGGGGTAGCAAATACGGTAAAAGACAAGAGTCAGGATACAGGATGATCTTGACAGGCTGGAAAACTGGGCTAAAAATGAATTTCAATGGGGATAAATGTAAAGTTCTGCATTAGGAAGAAAAAAAAATCATATGCATAATTATAGGATGAGGGAGACTTGTCTTGGCGGTAGTATGTGTGAAAAGGATCTAGGGGTTTTAGTAGATACATTGAACATGAGTCAGCAGTGCGATGCAGTAGCTAAAAAGGCAAATGCAATTTTGAGCTGTATCAACAGAAGTACAGTGTCCAGATCACGTGAAGTGATGGTATTGCTTTACACTGCTCTCGTTAGACCTCACCTAGAGTACTGTGTTCAGTTTTGGGAACCGCAATTTAAGGATACAGAGAAGCTGGAATTTATCCAGAGGAGGACAATGAAGGAGACCAAGTCCCATGAGGAAAGTTTGAAGGAGCTGGATATATTTAGCCTGGAGAGGTGATATGATAACCATCTTCAAGTACTTGAAGGGCTGTCATATAGAGGATGGTATGGTTTTCTGTTGCCCCAGAAGGTTGGACCAGAACCACCGGGTTGCAATTAGAAGAGTTTTCGGCTAAACATTAGGAAGAACTTCATGACAGTCAGAGCAGTTCCTCAGTGGAACAGGATTCCTTGGGAGGTGGTGGGCTCTCCTTCTTTGGAGGTTTTCGAACAGAGGCTAGATGGCCATCTGACAGCAATGCGGATTCTGTGAATTTAGGCAGATCATGTGAGTGAGGGTAGGAAGGGTTGCATATTAGTGCTTGCAGCCCATTCTTACACACCCAGGGAAATCCTGACAGCCACTTTAGGGTGAGGAAGCAATTTTTCTCCTGGCTGTTTGGCTGGAGATCCTGGAGGTTTTTTGTCATCTTCTGGGCATGGAACAGCAGTCACTGGGGGTGTGGGGGGAGGTATTTGTGAATTTCCTACATTGTGCAGGGGGTTGGACTAGATGACGCCGGGGGTCCCTTCCAACTCTATGATTGTATGTTTCCATGGCAGAATGTGAATTCCAACTATGGTCTCCCAGATCCTAGTTTGACACTCTAACCACTACACCACAGTGGCTCTTGCCAGCTATAGCACCTGGAGAGCATTCGAGGATGTCCCCTTTATATCCCGTTTCTTCCTCCAGTTCACGCAAAGCAGCACTCTCCGGACTTTCGTTTTCATCGATGAGACCTGCAATGCAAATTAGAACTACAATCAGCTGTTTTGAAAGGAAGTAGGGTTGTGGTGACATCAGTGGGACTAGGCTTGGAGCCAGGATGTCCCCAACATGCCATCATCACGTTGGGGATGCCCTGCCCCCTCCGGGAAGGCCCCCCAAAGTCCCCCGCTGGGGACGAAGATGGACCTGGCAACCCTTGAAACATCATACATATTCCTTGCCAAGAGAGAGAGAGAGAGAACGCACAAAACTGTCCTACTGTTGTGTGTCCCCTTGGCACCCGCCAACTTTTCTCCAGATGCCACTGCGCCCTCGCTTGGCCACATGTGGGTACTACTCTTCCCTTGGCGTTGCAGCTTGCCACACAACAAAAGGGAGTGAGGAAGAGGACAGGAGTCGCCACAGTCTCAAGTGGGGAGGGGGGGTTATGTCACTGCCCCCTCAGCTGCCAGCTCCCTGGACTCAGCCAAATGCACACTCTCTCTGGGCTTACAGGCTAGAGCTCCAGGCCGTCCTCCTCAGCTGTCTCCTGGAGCCCCTTTTTATACCCTTCTCTTCCCTTCCCTGCAACTCCAATCCCACTCTGCCTTGGCCCTGCCCCCAGTATAACAGCCAGGACGCCAGCCCCGCCTTTCTGGAGGCTTCCCTGTCGAGCCCCAGTCCAGTGACCGTGGGCTGTGGGAGACTGAAGCCTGGGCCTGTTGGCAGGTGCCTCCACCACTCCTTTGCTTGGCTGCCAGTCCTGTCACTGCTGCAGTCGGGCCTGGCCCTGCTTCTCCTGGTGCCTCCCTCCCCCTGCTCCTGGGGTCTGGGAGGCCTCTCTTGGCACTGTTGCGGGCGGTGTTGCTATTTCTTTCTTCATCCGACATTTGCTCGGACCCTCCCACGGGCCTGTGGTGGCCGCAGCTGGCCTCCACTGCCACTTCAGTCCCACCACCGGGACCTCCACTCCTATTTCTGCTGGACCCCACCGTGGGCTCTGGAAGCCACCACGCCCTCGCTTGGCCACACATTGGTACTACCCTTCCCTTGGGATTGCAGCTTGCTACACAACAAAAGGGAGCGGGGAAGAGGACAGGAGTTGCCTCAGTCTCGAGTGTGTGGGGGGGTTATGTCATCGCCTGCCAGCTCCCTGGACTCAGCCAAATGCACACTCTCTCTGGGCTTACTGGCTAGAGCTCCAGACAGTCCTCCTCGGCTGACTTCTGGAGCCCCTTTTTATACCCTTCTCTTCCCTTCCCTGCAACTCCAATCCCACTCTGCCTTGGCCCCGCCCCCAGTATAACAGCCAGGATGCCAGGCTGGCATCTCCTAGCCAGCCCCGCCCTTCTGGAGGCCTCCCCACCGAGCCCCAGGCCAGTGAGTGTGGGCCTGTGGGAGACAGAAATCCGGGCCTGTCAGCAGGAACCTCCACCGCTCTTTCACTTGGCCACCAGTTCTGTCACCGCTGCAGTGGGGCCTGACCCTGCTTCTGGCACCTCCCTCCCCCTGCTCCTGGGGTCTGGGAGGCCTCCCTTAGCTCTGTTGCAGGTTGGCGCCCACTGCCTCCTTCACCCACTGCCTGCTCGGGCCCTCCCATGGGGCTGCGGTGTCCATGGCTGGCCTCCACTACCACTTCGGGCCTACTTTCAGGCCCGATGCCAGGACCTCCACTCCTCTCTTCACTGGGCCCCGATGTGGGCTGGATGCTTCCGATGCCGGTTCCCTCCTCCCCCCGTCCTGGTAATCCAAAGGGGTGGTCGTGCCTCAGCGCCTGCTGCCCCAGAGAGTGAGGGAGTGCGGTGAGTGTCTCCACGGCTGAGCAAGGCTCCTGCTGGGAGGGGGCCTCAGCAGGGCTAGTCCTGGCCAGACCAGGACACCTACTGCCATTCATACGCTCTCAGGTTCTATTTCTGTCAAAAAATAACTTGCAGATGCCCTCAGGTTCTGCAGAGGAACTGAATTCAAAGACTATGGGCCTGTTTCTAAGTTCTGCTATGGGAAACGGGCATGATATCACATTAAGATTAGGATACAGAAAAGAAGGCAGAGCAGCCACTCACCTGCTGGGAATTCCAAGCAGTACACACCCATGGGGGGTCTAAATTGTTTCACTAGAACCACACAGTCATAGTGGAGAGTTCTTTGCAACACAGGAATAACAGCGACCCCTGCCAACATAGAGAAGAGAGTCACAAAAACATTCACAAAATGCACTAAAGGAGATTGGAAATGCCTGTGGTTATGCATTCGACAAGTCTGTTCACACTATCAGTTGAGGACACTGTTTTGGAACTTCTGGAACCAGACTGCCACAGAGGATTCTGCAATATTTTGTTGAATACATGCTCATTTTACACAGGGGCCCAGCTTGTCATGTTTGGCCTCACTGTTGTTCTGCATGGATTTGAGAATGTGAACCCCCAAACCCACCCCTGTAGCTACTCCTCGCTGGTAAAGATCAGCCATTGCAAGCTAGGTCCCTGTCCAGGAAACTTGTCTGCCAATGACTGTGCTTCTCCTTGCAGAGCCCTTGAAAAACTGCTCCCCAAACACTATTTAAAAAACCCTGGCTTGAAGAGTTGGGGGTGGGGTCTTTTTTTTTTGAGTCTGGTGCTGTGGCCACAAGCATCCAAGTGTGCTAAGCCATGCTTGCTTGCACTGTACCTCCCTATCCATGCCCTCTTCAATAAAGGAGCAGGTGTGTTCCTTTTATTCCAGGAGAAGGTTTTGGGGTCTGGTGACACTGACTTCTGCTGTTAGGAGTAGAATAGCAAGCAAAAATTATCACAGTTAGGGACCAATTTCAAAAATTAGAAATATATATATCTCCTAGATTATGATCCTGTTTTGGGGTGGCCACATTCCATGCACTCCCTCAGCTATTAGCCCGTCAGCCACCACTCAAGAGTACTTGTGTGCCACTGGCCGGGTGCTGGGTCTGCTCCTCTTCCCCACCCACTCCCCCTTCAGCCGCTGTGCCCTGTCAGAATTACTGGGAAACGGCTTTCTCTCTTGACGAAGATAATTTTCCTGTTTGGGACTAACTTTCTTCTCAGTGGCTGTTGGTAGGTGTCACGAAATGGCAGTTACCTGTGTTTGTAAAATGGCTGTGGTTATTTGTTTAAAATGTTCCCCCATCAGGTTTAATTGAGCTGTAGTTCTAGAGAGGGGCCTGCAGGGGTATCACTCACTGGGTTGAATGGGGCTTCCTCATCTGCTGGCCTACAGTTCCCAGCTGCCCCAAGGCCAAAAAGTGCGGGAAAACATGGACTGTCCGAAGGCAGTCTTTGTCCCTGGGAGCAGCAGAAAGCCAGCCACTCCACAGTCGGCTGGACTGGGGAATGAATGGAAGTTTCCCTGCTCTCTTGGGCGCAAGAGAGAGAGGCTGAAGTACAGGTAAGCCCACAACCTCCAGAGGTAGAGAGTATTGTAGGAAAAGAGGATTGTGTTTAACCCCTCTTGATTTATGCCCTGTGTGTGGGAAAATGGAAAGCTGAAGACAGGGGGGGGAAATAAAGGTAGGTTGATGATTGGCTGGGAAGGAGATAGGGTTGCCAACTCCAGGTGGGAAATTGCTGGAGATTTGAGAGATGGAACCTGGAGAGGGTGAGGTTTGAGGAGGGTGGGACCTCAGACAGGTACAATGCCATAGACTCCACCCTTCCAACCAGCCATTCCCTTCTGGGGAACTGCTGTTGCCAATCTCAGGAGAGGGGTGGAAATCATTCAGAATTACAACTGATCTCCAGGAGGGAGGGGGAAGGAGATGCAAAGCTGAAATCAGAGGGGCAGATAATGGCAGGTTGATGGCTGGCTGGGAAGAAGATAGGGTTGCCAACTCCAGGTTGGGAAATTCATGGAGATTTCAGGGGTGGAGCCTGGAGAGGGTGAGGTTTGAGAAGGGGTGGGACCTCAGACAGGTGCAATGCCATAGACTCCACCCTCCAAACCAGCCATTTCTTCCTGGGTAACAATTGTTGCCAATCTCCGAGTGAGGGCTGGAGATCACTGAAAATTACAACTGCTCTTCAGATAGCAGAGATCAGTTCCTCTGGAGAAAATCGTGGACTCTGTGTCATTATACCCTGCTGAGGTCGCCACAGCACATTGATGCTGAGTGCCCAAGGCCCTGGCACTCTCCCAGAGCCTCTCTCTAGAGCTCATTCTATTTATTTCCACAGCAGGCCTTATTCCTAGTATATATATGTGTGATGTGTGTGTGTGTGTATGTTACAGTAAATATCTGGGGTTCAGTGAATTTTTGGGAAAAGTTCACACAGACATTATGTATATTTCGATTATTATTATTTTTGTGTATGTGTATCAAACTTGTATTGATGTAGGGACTTGCTTACCATCAGCTGAAACTCCTTCTCTTCTGGTTGTGCGCTTTACAGATTCCCATACTCTGTTCAAATTGGGGGCAGAAGACAAAGGAAATGTTTATTCCAAAAATGAGATATTTATTAAAGTCCTTTAGTATCAAGGGAACTTTCACTACCATATGCTAAGGTCATTCTTAAACTGCAGAACTTGTGGTTTTCTGGAGAATTTTGTACTTCACAATGCAGATTTCAAGACAAAAAGCAGAGGTCATAAAAACATAAGAGAAGCCAATGTTGGATCAGGCCAATGGCCCATCTAGTCCTACACTCTGTCACACAGTGGCCAAAAATACCAGGTGTCATCAGGAGGTCAACATGCTAAGAAATAATAAATCACCAAAATTTTGCACCAATTCAATTCAAATACTGCAAGAACAAAAAACTGGATTCTGCAACTTGCATGAATTATGCAAATTAAACACATTTGAATAGTGTGTTTTACTGTGCATAATTTATTGTGCTGTTACGTGTCATCTTCCTATACAACTTAAAGCAAACAGGCAGCTGTAGGAAGCTGCACTGTAAATATAGGAATAACAGCCAAAAGCAATTCAGAACTTTGCTTACACTGTTAAAGATATTTATTACACTTCATGTTTATCTCAGCCTTCCTCCTAGAAGCTCGCTCAGTACAGTGGGTGCTTTCCCCCAGCCCCCAACAGTTAACGTATTTTATCCTCAAAGCAACTGAGTAGAACAAGACAGAGTAGCCTAAAGTCACCTAGCTAGTTTTGTGGCTGAGTGAGGATATGAATAAAAAGCATGAAGAAATTTAGAGTGTAATAAATATAAATGTACATCCCTTCTCCAAAGACTTTAAAATCTAAATGTTACAAAAAAGCTGATTTTTAAAAACTTTTATTCAGGTGCATTCAGCTATACCAAGTACTTATTTATTTATTTAATAAAATTAATCTCTTATAAATCAAACTCCATTTAAGTAAAATCAAAGGCTATGGCTCAAAATAGTAAGAGTTTCCATTATTAATTTATACTACCCTCAAGTTACATTAAAAGTAGATAAAATGATGATAGTGTGGATTTTTTTTGCAAGGTGTTGTTTTCCATTAAATACTGAACACGGCCTCTTTAAACGCCTTCTTCCCCCAAGCCCCATGGTGGCAGCGCAACTTGGCAGTGAACTCAGAAGTGAACTCCACCACACTTGGAGAGGCAATAAGCATTTAAAGAGACTGTGGTCTTTTAAAATGCCTACTCCTCCAAGCATGACGTGGTGGCATGGCTTGAAGAAGGCATTTAAAGATCACAATCTCTTTAAATGCCTTTCCCCCCTTCCATTGAAAGCAATGGAGGATGGGGACACCTTGTTTGGGGGTCCAATTCTACGGAACAATCTTTTTCAAACTTGGGGGGCGTGATTAGAGACACCAGCAGCTATGCTGTAAATTCGGTGCCTCTACCTCAACCCCCCCCCCCAGAGATCCAGATACCCCCAGATCAATTCTCCATTATACCCTATGGGGACTAACAGTATTGGAAAATACCAATATTTTTTGGATTCAATACACCCGAACCCAAAAAATACCAATTTTTGTTTTTTTGCACACCCTTATCTCAGACTATTATCTGTTGTTGGCTCTCCAGAGGAACTGGTTGACCACTGTGTGAGACAGGATGCTAGACTAGATGGACCACTGGTCTGATCCAACAGGGCTCTTCTTATGTTCATACACAGCAGAGTTTCCCAGAGCACAGTATAAATACCAGTGCCTTAGAAAAGAGATACAAGGGTATGGAGTGACAAAGAAGAAAGTCTTACCTTGTTTTACCTGTGGGATCTACATATGTTGTTTGATCAAGTTTCACCCACTTTCTCTCTGTAATAGTCTAAAAATGGAGAATCATCAATTAAGTGAGTGAAAAACTATCATCGTGATTTTGAACAAGTGTTAATGCTTTTGCTAGCAATACTGTAACCTGTACAAAAAATTGAAGCCAAAAGCAACAACTTCTCTTTGCACTTTACCTGTAGATGAAGGACAATTGTTTTCTCCTAGCAAAGGTGATGTTTCCATAATTTTCACAGTATGAAATCAGTTAAAAAGTACCCACCATGAACACTGAAAGACATGTCTAAGTTCAAAGTGAAGAAAGACAGCTACTTTTTGTTTACACACCCTTGGGGGAAAGTCATATACCCTTCTCAGGAATCTTTGCAAGCCTGAACATATGAAAGCATTTATCTTTCTTTTTAAAAGCTACAACACTGTGAATAAAAATGTAGAATATTAGTACTAGGGAACTACATCTGAACTATTTTTCATGGACAGTGCTAGAATTTTGCTCATCAGGAGGAGGAGGAGATTGGATTTATACCCCGCCCTTCACTACCCAGAGGAGTCTCAGAGCGGCTTACAATCTCCTTTCCCTTCCCTCCCCACAACAGACACCCTGTGAGGTAGGCGGAGCTGAGAGAGCTCTGACAGAAACTGCTCTTTTTCAGGAACAGCTGTGCCAGAACTATGGCTTGCCCAAGGTCATCCAGCAGGTGCAAGTGGAGAAGTGGGGAATCAAACCCGGTTCTCCCAAATTAGAGTCCGCGCAGTCTGCGCACTTAACCACTACACCAAACTACATCAGTGAGTACATGTAGCTAAAAGTCAATGAACTTTCCCCCTTCTACTGCAGTCCATTGAACCACATGCAAAGTTTTGTTCTTGGTAGTCAGAAGATGCTCTGTATGATGTTATAACGTTGACATTTTGATGGTAACTTTGCTTTTAACTTTATTATTTATTTCTACATTAATTCCCTACTTTTCTCCTCAGTGGAGAGCCAAAGAGGCTTACAAAGAGGCTCAGTGGGGACCTAAAGAGGCTTATACTCTCTTCCATTTTATCAGGTAGTTTAGGCTGAGAGAGGGGTACAAGTTCTATAAATTTCAGACCCCCAGTCAAGTTACACTCAACAACTCTCTTTAGGCAGTGAAAGTTTATTGAGTTATATGCAAGATCCAGAAAGTCACTTGTGTTAGAACTAAAGATTTTGGTGGGTACAATCTTATTATAGGAAATTCAAGCAGGTCCCATCCATCCCCCAAGCATACATCACAGCCATACTCTGCCTAATTGCCATGCCAGCCAGGAGAGATATATGTTCTGGTAATCTAGAGTCCAAGATGACACAAGAATGTGTTCAAGGCCACCTTCCCCTGGAAAAGTGAAAGAGGAGGGGAAGGGGGTTGACTTGTGGAAAAGTTACATCTTATAAAAGCAAAAGTCTCATTCACTCCCGCACACACTCACCCCACCCTCAGGAATGCCCACCCCCGAAGAATAACCCAAGCGAGCACAGCTTAGCAAGGTTTGACAATAAACTACTGCTGACTGGACACCATTATGGACTATACTTAAGAATGGATTATACTTAAGAACTATGTTTTGTTGCAATATATGTAATATTTATAGCACCTTAGAATTGTTTTATAGTTTTGTTTTTATATTTTAATGTAAGCTGCCCTGAGCTTGCCTTGGCAAGGAGGGTGGGGCATAAATCTAATAAATAAATAAATAAATAATAAAAGCATGAGGGTAAAGTTGGGGGTCTGCAGTGGAAGGGGGATATTGCAGGAAACTGCCGCTCCTTCTTCTGAAGACTTAATTAAGTTTCCAAAACTGTGTGGCTGGATACATGCCACTTTTATCCTTATAATGGTGATAAATGCATGGTTTGTTTGTAATGTGAAATGAATACAGAATTGCTCTAGATGAATCAACTTAAAATTTTACATTCCTTCTCTCCAACAAAACAAGGTATGAATGCAGGTATGAACACAGATTCAAGATTCAATTTGCCTTTGTGGGCTTGCCAGAGTCTAGTTATTGGCTAATTTCACAGCTGAAGCTCTCTCATGTCTGAGGTTTGGTCACACATTTCCAAGTTTATTCATTTAGAATTATTTTATGGCATCTCTTCACATAACCAGCCTGAGGTGGCTTACAAAATAAACCATAACAATGTGGGACCTGCAAGAACCTTGCAGGAGTAGACATCCCAATCCCCCACCTCTGCTTCTTCCCTCTCCCCCTACTTCTCTCACACTCTTTCTCCTTCCTGCCACCCCTTTCTCCCTCTCTCTCTCTCCCTCCATGCCCGTCACTTCCTTTCTGCCCCCTCCCCATCACTCTTTCTGCCCATCACTCTCCCAGCCTCCCACCTACTTCCTTCCCCCCACAGCAGCACTGGCAGCAGCTGCTATCCAGGAATCACAACGGATTGCCCAAATACAGAGATCAGTTCCTCTGAGGGCAGCCAGCTCCATGTTGGGAAATTCCTGGAGATTTGGGGATGGAGCCTTGGGAGGATGAGGTTTGAGCTTTGAAGTGACCTCAGCAGGGTATAATACCATAAACTCCACCCTTCAAGGCAGCCATTTTCTCTGGGGGAACTGATCTCTGTCAATTGCAATTCCAGATCTCCAGCCCTCACCTGGAGGTTGGCAACATTAGTTCCCCTGGAGGAAATGACTGCTTTTGAGAGTGAAGTCCGTGGCATTATATCTGTCTGAAGGGCCTCCCCATCTTAATCCGCACCATCTCTAAGCTCCACCCCTCAAATATCAACTGACTGTGGCTTTTAGCAGTTTTGTCTGGGGATGACTGCTGGCCCCGCCCCCTGCTGGGTGAGCCTGTAATTATATTAAGACTTCTCCTGTCCAGAGTCAGACCAAAGCCAGCTGGCTCTGAGAAGGGGCAGGTGAGGGAGCTGCTGCTGGAGTGGTGAGTGTTTTATTATTTGCTTTTCCTTAACTGCTGAGGAGAAGTAGCTGAGTTTACTGTGTGGGAGGATAGTGTTTGAGGTTGTGTAGGTGTGAATAGCCTGTAGGAGAGTGGTGCTTGTTTGAGAAAGTTTGGTTTCTGTTTGTCACTTTTCCCTGAGTGTAACTGATTGTGGCTTTTAAAAGTTTTGCCTGGGGCTGACTGCTGGCCCCGTCCTTTGCTGGGTGAGCCTTTAATTGTATTAAGGCTCCTTCTTGCCAAAGGCGTGAGCCGAAGGGTGAGAGCTCAAGGACTCTTGCCCTGTGGCTCTTAGCCTGGGGGCCTGTAGGAAGCTGAGTAGCTCTTACATTCTATATTTGTTAAGTTAGTTTTTGCTTCTGCAAACCTTTCATAAATAGTCAAGAGGCAGTTTGGCAGGAAAGTGATCAAGGAAGTGCAAGTGAAACGGAACTAATTTTGAAATGGATTGCAGCAGCATGGCTGGTGAGGGAGCTGAGGCAGTAATGTGCAAAGTCTGTGGCATGTTCGTATTCTTACCTGAGGGTAACAGCCATTACACTTGCAGCAAATGTAAGTTGGTAGCCCTACTGGAGGAGAAGATACAGGGGCCTGAGGCATGTTTGTCCACACTCCAGTTTATTAGGGAAGGTAAAGATTTCATGGACAGAACACATGAAACACTCCTGAGAGGGCAACAGGAGGAGGAAGGAAAGATATCTTAGCAAATGGAGGAGCACCCAACACAGGAGGAAGGCACATGGAAGAATGTAACCCACTGGAGCAGGAAAATCAAGAGACATTCTGAGCCTCTGTTACGAAGCAATCGATTCCTGGATCTCCCCACAGATATTGATTCTGAGCCACTGGAACAAGGGCTCTTCCCCACCTTCCACGAAGCTTGAAGGAAATTTCTCAGACCCTTGTGGATGAGAGGACTCAAGCTTCTGCTCCCCAATATAGGAGAATATGTATGTTGGTACCATGGGATTCCCTATTGAGAGGGGTAGAAGCTAAAGTGTGTCAACCAGACTCGTCGTCTCGAGAGATATCCTGTATACTGGGTGCACATATCCAGGATGTGATGGAAAGGGTAGAAATATTCATCAAGCCCACGGATTATTATCCCTTCTTGCCCATACACATAGGCGATACCTCCCGGCACAGCCCAGAATGTATTTTAAAAGACTATGTAGCTCTGGGTAAAAAGGTGAAGCAATTGGGATTGCAGACTTTGTTTTCATCAGTTCTTCCTGTTGAAGGCTGTGGCTTACGAAGGGAAAGAAGAATACTACAAATAAATAACTGGCTACGTAGATGGTGTCATCAGGAAAGGTTTAGATTTCTGGACCACAGTTTATACTTTTGAGATTAAGCTCTTCTATTGGGAGATGGTAGGAAAATATGTGTTTGGAAACAGTCTTGCAAACCTAATAAGGAGAGCTTTAAACTAAATGCTATGGGGGAGTGAGACAAAAATGTAAAGCCTAGTATGATGCCAATAACTGGAGATAAGAACTCTAACATTTTGGAGGGAGTGGCACATATGCTAGGTAACATTAACTCACAGGTAAGTACACACACGAAAGCCTCAGGTTACATAAAACATGGGTTCCGATGTCTCTACACTAATCCGCAGAATATGGGAAACAAGCAGGAAGAACTTGAAGTCCTAATTCAAAAAGGGGACTATGACCCAATAGGCATTACTGAAAATTGGTGGGATGACTCTCACAGCTAGAACATTAGGATTGAGGGGTACAGCTTATTTAGAAGGAACAGACAAATAAGGAAGGGCGGAGGAGTCACATTATACATAAAGGAGGTATATACTTGTTAGGAAATATATGAATCTGAGCATGGAAGTCCAGTTGAGAGTCTCTGGGTAAAAATAAAAGGAGTAAGAAATAGTAGTGATATTATGGTGGGGGTCTGCTATAGACTACCAAGCCCGGCAGAGAACTTGGATGAGACACTCCAAGAACAGATTACAGAATTCTCAAAGAGATGGGACACGGTGGTCATGAGAGATTTTAATTACTTGGATATCTATTCGAAGTCAAACTCCGCTAAAAATGAAAGGTCCAATAAATTCCTGACTTGTCTTGCTGCCAACTTCATTTTCCAGGAAGTGGAGAGGGAAACAAGGGGATCTGCTATCTTGGACTTGATTCTTACCAATAGGGAAGAAGTGGTTGACGAGGTGAAAGTAGTGGGCACCTTCAGTAGTAGTGACCATGTAATTTTGGAATTTACAGTCTTTGGGAAGGGAAAAGCTGTACGTAGTCAGACATATAGGTTGGACTTCTGGAAAGCAAATTTTAACAAATTTAAAGTTATGCTGAGTAGCATCCCATGGTCAGAAATACTTAAGGAGAAGGGAGTTCAAGAGGAATGGGTGTTTCTTAAAAGTGAAATACTGAAGGCACAATCACAAACGATTCCTATGAGAAGGGAAAATGGGAGGAGCCTAAAGAAGCCAAAGTGGCTCCATAAACAGCTTCTCGGAGTCTCAGAGCGGCTTACAAACTCTTTTCCCTTCCCCTCCCCACAACAGACACCCTGTGAGGTAGGTGGGGCTGAGAGAGCTCTTTCGAGAACTGCCCTTTCAAGGACAGCTCTTGTAATAAAAAAAAGGACAGCTCTTGTCAGAACTATGGCTTGCCCAAGGTCATCCAGCAGCTGCAAGTGGAGGAGTGGGGAATCAAACCTGGTTCTATCAGATTAGAGTCCGCACACTTAACCACTACACCAAACTGGCTCTCTTAGAAAGTGGAAGGAGGGCCTTATAATCAAGGGTGAGTATAAACAAATAACCAGTGTTTGTAGAGAAAGAGTTAGGAAAGCCAAAGCTCAGTATGAGCTTAGGATAGCGAGAGATGCTAAAAACAACAAAAAAGGGTTCTTATATTCAAGGTAAGAAAAAGAACAAGGACATGGCAGCCCCATTGCAGGGACAGGAAAGTGACATTTTACCAGGTGACGAAGAGAGGGCAGAATTGCTCAATTCCTACTTTTCCTCAGTCTTCTCTTGCGAGGGAAACAGTGCTCAACATGGCAAAAACAGAAGACATGACAAGGGAAGGGAGCTGTGGCCTAGGATCGGCATAGGGGTAGTGCACAAACACCTACTTTCTTTAAATGAAACTAAGTCCTCAGGGCCAGATGCATCCAAGTGTACTAAAAAAAAACTTGTGGATGTAATTTCTGAGCCTCAGTCCATTATTTTTGAGAATTCTTGGAGAACAGATGAGGTGCCAGAAGATTGGAGGCAGGCAAATGTTGTCCCCATCTTCAAGAAAGAGGAAAAGGAGGATCCAGGTTAACTACCGACTTGTCAGCTTGACGTCTATACCTCGCAAATATTTAGAACAAATTATCAGACAGACAGTCCTTGAGCATTTAGAAAGGACGGCTGTGATTACTAAGAGCCAGCACGGGCTTCTCAAGAATAAGTCATATTGGACTAAGCTTATCTCTTTTTTTGAGAAAGTTATTACCTTGCTGGATCAGGGGAATGCTGTAGACATAGTTTATCTTAATTTCAGTACGGCTTTTGGTAAGGTTCCACACAATATTCTTGTTGATAAATCGGTAAAATGTTGTTTGGATCCTATGCCTGTTAGGTGGATCTGTAACTGGTTGACAGATTGCACCCAAAGAGTGCTCGTGACTGGTTCCTCATCCTCTTGGAGAGGAGAAGTGGAGTGGCTCAAGGATCTGTCACGGGACCTGTTTTCTTCAACATCTTTATCAATGATTTGGGAAAAGGAACAGAGGGAACACTTATTAAATTTGCAGATGATACCAAATTGGGAGTGGAAGCCAATATGGTAGAAGACAGAGTCAGGATACAGGATGATCCTGACATGCTGGAAAACTGGGCTAAAAAATTAAAATTAATTTCAATGGGGATAAATGTAAAGCTCTGCATTTAGGAAGGAAAAATCAAATGGATGAGGGAGACTTGTCTTGGCAGTAATATCCACGAAAAAGATCCTCTATATCCTGTTGTTGCTCCTGCAGAGTAACTGGTTAGCCACTGTGTGAGACAGAATGCTGGACTGAAGTGCGGTGATGGGGAGGGGCAGTGGCTAAGCAACACAATAGCTCAAAACTGAAAAGTTGTGAGAGATCATCCCTGCACTAGCTAGGAGTAACAAAGTGGTAGATATGGAAACTTGGCAAATCCTCTAAATGGCAATGTAGGTTTAGAGTGCTAGATGTGCAGCTCATCTAGCAGGAGAAACTCTCATGAGTTGTTGGTGGAAGTACTTCCCATTTTGTTTTTGATACCCCCACCCAACAGTAAAGGCAAGGGGTGGTATTGCTGGGCAGAGAATTGGGACCACCACAGGGTTTTCCAGCTTCCTGAAAATGGCCTACCAACCCGTTCGTTCACATGGACCATCCATATTTTTCATGACAGAAAATGCAAGCAATGTAGAGGCCCAGAGCACCAAATAAAGAGCTGAGTATGAAAGTCAACAGATCCATAGATGATCAAAAAGTTCCTCTACAGAGCAGTGGACTCCCACATACGAGGGAAAGTCCCATCTTGATCCACATCACAACTTCTTCTAAAGATAAATAAAAATCTCATGCATAAGCTGTTTGATGTAGTAGTTGGATATCAGAACGCATGCTATAGACAGACCTTTCCCAGTTAACAGAAATGTGACCGCTGGCTTCCAGGACTCTTCAGGGCTGACGACTTGGTTAACACGCGTGAGAGCAGGTCCCTTTCACCAACTTCAGTGGGACACAGCAGCACTCAACTATGTCTGATTATGACCAAGAAAGAGAAGACTGTAGAATCCCTCTAACAGAACCTCTTTAGTGCAGATTCTTCCTCAGTTCCAACAAGTCCCAAAGAAACTTTCTGTTTCTCAAAAATTTAAAAGAACAATCCCAACTCCCCCAATATTATGGCTCTTATCCTGACAAAAAGTAAGACCTGCAAGATATCTAGTTCAGTTAAAAAGGGTCCTGTTGATGCATGGAAATTATTTTCATGTTCTCACAAGTAGGAAATACTTTGTGAGAATAAAAATATATTGTATTACACAGCCCAACAAGTGAACAAAAAATGCAGCTTTGAAACAATATTCCACCCCCCCCCCAAAAAAAAATCAGTGCCTACCTCCTCTTTAAGAATGGATTCCTGGGTGGATTTGGGAGCCTGAGTGGATGCTTCTTTTTCCATTTTCAGGGATGTTCGTCTGTCACCTCCAGCACAAAGTCCACCCTATTACAAACCAGAGTCAATATTTGCCTTCAGGGTCAAGTCAGACCATTCATCCTTTTTTAAAATTCTAAATGAATAAATCACCCCTGCAACAAATGTTAACTCAAAGCGTGTTCCCAACTTCAAGCACGTAGTAACTTTACACTGGATGATCTTTGGCCAGTTGTATCTCACCAGATGTTGCCTTCAGACAACATTCTGCCTTCATCTCAATAGAATGTTTGATCAATAGGATGGTGCACTGAGCCCAAATGAGATCAGAACATAATCCAGGTCCAAATGCAGAACTAGGATCACAATATTTGCAGTGCAATACTGAACAGGTTAAAACTTAGCTTAGGAGAATGTTATTCATCATTTTATTTATTAGTTCATACTTCTGATTAATTCAAAGATCCCCCCCCCCCACTTGACAGGAGAGTGGAATAATTTTTTTAACACAAGTGCTTCTAAAACATATTCTTAGAAGGCACCATTTTATAAGAGGCCTGCTCCCTTGATACCAAAACTTATAGACATCCATAAGTGAACCTCCATACTTCAGTAAAATTAAGAGGGGACTCCAGGAGAATTACAGACTGAAGGCACTTCCCAGAATAACAAAAGGGAAGTAGTCTGAACAGGTCTACTTGGGAAGTGACTGAATTACTCCCTTCCTTACTCAGAAATGCAGGCAATGTCTCAAGGATTACCCATGAGAACATACCCTTAATGCACAAAAGGATCCAGTCAGTAAACACCCCTATCTTAAGCCTATTGTTTCCCCAGGATACAATGATCAGTCCACGCCCAGTTCTTTGTCCACCCTCTAGACCAGCCAGTGATCAGTTCATTCCAGTCAGCCTTTGCAGTGTCATTCTTTCATCTATAATTTCCCCACTTGGCAGTTAAAATCATTCTGGCATGTAAGATTTAAACTTTTTGGCCCCAAACTGATCCCGTCCAATGTTTTAAATACAGCCCCCAAACCCCCCCCCCTGAATTTTGCAGTAACACTAGCAGCCATTCTCCCAAACTTCTTCACTACTGTCCCTGTGGATAGGGTTGCCAGGTCCTACCTTGCTCCCAGCGGGGGGCTCCAGGCTGCCAGGCCTGCATGCATGCCAAGCACACGTGTCATGATGACGTCACCCAGAAGTGATGTCATCACACTGCCTACATCAGGGGGTGACATTCTACTTTTTGGGCAAAACCCTATGGTTTTTCTTGCCCTCAAAACTATAGAGTTTGCCCAAAAACTAGAGCGTCACCCCCAACATTGACAACATGATGATGTCACTTCCAGGTGACGTTATCGTGACAGGGGGTGGGGCTTCCCCTGCCGGCCAGCGGCAGATTGGAGCCCTGAAGACTGGGGGATCCCCTGGCCGGACTGGGGGGAGGTCTGGCAACCCTACCTGTGGAGCATGAACAGGGGACCCTTTAAGAGCTGAAGCCAGACTCATTCTCTGCCCTGCTTCTTCCTTCTTCACTCTCCCTCCAACCCAGAACCTCAGGGCCCCCTCACTGCATCAGACAGGCTTGTTTTCTTTCATTTGGCCGCATTTATTGTGTGTTTTTATTGGTTACGTATTAGGTTGTCTAGGGTTAAGATTTGCTGTGTGTATAAGCCTGCAACTCTCTGAATACTTCCTGCTTTTTTTCATCTATTTTTCTAACTAAACATTTAGACTAGGCTTCCCAGCCCCCAGGTCCAGGCGGAGGCTTCTCCCTGCCACGGATCAACTGGCCAGCAGGGGAAACCCTGCCCATGAACAAGGATATCTGAGGTCCCTGATGCAATGACTTCACCCGGAAGACAGGGGACGTCACATGGGGATGCTCTGGTATTTAGGCAAACTCTATGGTTTGAGAGTAAAAAAACCCCAGAGTTTCACCCAAATATCAGAGCGTCCCCAGTGCAATGGCATCACTTCCAGGTGATGTCATCACGTTAGGGATGCTGTGCGATGTATGTTCCCTCTAAGCTGAGGAGTCTTGTGAGCAAAAATTCTACTTTGGGAGCTACCGGCATTAAAGATGTGAGCAACCGATTTGGCTACTGCACAAATTATTTTGCTCTCGAGCCATCCTTCTTGAGCTAAGACAAAAATGTGTGAGCCAGAGGCTAAAAAACAGTAAGTTCACACTAACTCAGCTTAGAGGGAACACTGCACCCTGGACTGCCCTCCAAACCATGATTTATGGCAGTCAGCTACGGCTCCGGAATGATCAGTGTGGATTTTCAGACTGAAAACTTCATTCTGCCTGTAACTTTTCAGCTTTGAACTGTGAATTATTGCCTAAGATAAGCTCTTTTGGCTTTTCTCTAATTGCAGTCCCAGCTGCACAGCTTGAAAGGATTTGGAGGGGAGGGGGAGTTTAGCAGGCAACTCCCCCACCCAAGACTGGCTCTCACATGAATTCTGAGTACAGAGACGGAGTTAGCCAAATTGGAATATTATTTGGATATTAAGCTGCTCAGGAGAAGAGAGTAAACAGAAAGAGGATTGGTTTTTTGGATGTTTTTGAATATTGCCTGTGACGACCCCTTAACTGGGGAGGTCTGGTTTTACTTTAAAAGTGTTCCTTTTATTTTATTTTACTTTGGGTATCCGGCTGCCACCAGGAAATTTTATAAGGCTTTCCAAACCTTTTCCTATAATATTCCTATCACAGGGTAGGTGGATCGAGATTTTAGGCTTTCGAGGAACTATGTGTTTCCTGGGAAGAATTTCTTTAGTACTGGTATCTTAAATAAAAGTAGATTTATTTGATATTTCACACACTTTTCCCTCTTACTGACAGGGATCTGGGCATGTCACTTTGTAACAATATTCTCCTTAGGCCACATACGGTTACTGTTTCTTTTTGTTTCAACTTTTCATCACACACACAAGACTTCACTCTCTCAGACCTTAAAACGAACAAACTGCTTAACTCTTTTACTACACAGAACCAAATTATCCCACACAGGGATGAGTCTCTTTCAACTCATACATAGCTTAACTGAACATCCTCTGTCTTCATCAACTGTCATCTCCCTAACAGTCACTCCAGATAGACATTCCAATCATCCACACAGCATCCATTCCAAAACCCCTCCCCCTCTCTGTCACTCACCAATCATATTACTTGCCGGTTTCAAGCACTCTAGATTATCACACAGCCAAGCAAACCAAACTTTTAAAGACATACACACACAAATAAACATGAAATCGCCACATTGTCCTATATTCATTTTATTGGGAATAAGTACCTTCCTTGGCTTTGAAGATTTTCTACATTGTCTATATTCTGGATTGCTGAATATACTTTCAACAGCCTTTTTCTCTCTTTTTTTTCTTTTTTCTTTTTAATTTTGTATGGATTTATTTTAAAAGAAATGTGAGCTTGAGACTATAAATGCAACTTTAAAAGATGCTATTTTTGCGTTCCTGCAAGGTCTGTGGTGCTTAATCACTCCATTATCTCATTTATATTACAGGAAGAAATAGATGAACTCATTGCTAAGAAACTACATGCAGAACCTACAAGACAGAGCTGTTCTGCCAGGCTTTTGGTTGAGGCAGCAGGCGTCCACACATGGCCCCCCGAGGTTGCTGTCTCCCACCCACTGATAACCGGCCATACCTACCTACATCAATGGGCTGGATTCTCCCTACAACAAGCTATGATTATTGATTTTATTTGTTTTAATGTGTTTTAAATTTTTATTGTATTTATGGAAATGTTGTAACCCGCCCTGAGCCTGTTTATGGGATGGGTGGGATATAAATGTGAAAAATAAATAAATAGAAAATAAAAAATGCTGGCACCCTTAACTTTTGACTTCCCCACTTTAAAACATGCCAGCACAAGAAGCATTGATAGACTTACAAAACAATTTGCAATCTATGTTTCAGTCAGCTATGGGACAAACTGAGAATGTTTTGGCTCAGCTGGCAGAACAAATTAAAAATTTAAACACAGAAGTCTTGGAATTGAAAAGGGAAATGAATGTTTTTCAAATTCGATCAGTACAAAGTACGCATGAGACACAAGAAATGGTAGCTGAAATGGCAACGCAAAAACAAGACAAGATGAATATTTTACAAAAAGTTATTTGGGACTCTCGAGTTAAGCTTGGAATAGAAAGAGCAACATGTGTGCTGAGATTACAGAATGGTTCTAAGCAAAAAGGAGAAGACTGGACAACAGTCTTCCGCAGAGGATGAGGAGATTGTAAGAGAAACTGACTTGACTTACAGAGCCAATTCAGCTTATGCAAAAAAAATAATAATAATCTGCCAAGGAAGATGCATGTAAAATTCATAAAACATGCAGTAAAATGGAAGATGAAGAGCCAATTCAGTTTATATATAAGGCTCATATAAAATTTATAAAGTATGTTGTAAAAAGGAAGAAGATCTTATTAAAGATTGTATAATTGGATGAAAAATTTAGAATGTAATATTGTTCTTGTACAGTGGAGTAAATTGTGGAGAGTGAATCTGAAAATGACTAAACTGATTGTTCTGAAAGAGAACCTGTATAAGATGCTTTATAGATGGCATTTAACACTAAACGGATTGGACAAAATGTATAAAGATAAGCCAATTAGTTGATGGTTGTATATTAGAGACAGTTTTGTAGATTTTATTACCTTTTAGACTAGAATTGTGCTTTTTTTGAATTTTATACTAGATGGTTCTTTGGAAACCTCCAACAATATCTGTTGAACAGGATTGAATAGTGAAGATCATGGAAAATTGACTTTGATGCTAAAGAAATACAAAGAAATGAACTTTTTAATACTACTGTCGAACCGCGCTGAGTTCTTTGAAGCGGCACAACGAGGGACGGGGTTCGGGAGGCATATTTGGGGACCGGGAAGACCATGGTCGGAAACCCCTGCCAGGCAGGAAGGGACGCGCTCGGGCGAGAGACCGAGGAATCTTACCCGTCAATATGGGTGCTACCGCGGGAGGTACCGGGCGGGTAGATACTTCCCCGCAACTTGAGGCTCCAGGAGTCAGCGGAGACGGGAACACTAAGGGTGAAACGATGAGAGTGGGAACACACGTGGGACGAGGGGAGCAGATTGGGGAACGAGGCTGATGGGGAGCACGTGGGGAAGGGTGATGAATGTAACTCTGCAATAAAAGAAAGAAACAGAAACACCGGGGAGGAATCTGGAAATCGTGGCGACCCAGAGAGAGACGGTGTGCGAGAGACGATTGTGCTGGGGAACGGTAGCTGACGTGTGGCGCAAACACACAGCACGTTCCATTTCTGAGGTGTCTGTTTCTAAGTCCGTGAGAGTCTCACCACGGCTACGGGACATTTAGAGCCAGGGGGTGACTTCAAACGCGACAACTACAATATGAAGAATTCTTTATAAACTTTTACAATCTCACAGTCTGTCTTACTGTAATGGGAAGCGATAAGTAGAGAAGAAGGTTTGCATGCAGAAGACATATTATTTTTGCTTTTTTCCCTTTCCCCCTTCCTCTTTTCTATTCCTGTTTATTCTAAAACTCAATAAAAATGTATACCAAAAAAAAAATAATTCTGAACCTTGGTATACACAGGCAGTGGTCCTCTAATTTAATTTTACTCAGATACACGTGTGTGCTCTTGACACACAAAGGGGATGCTCCAAACTTGGGGGTCACACATGTGTAGGCTATTTGGGTAACATCCTCCTCCCTCAAGACCAGGCACAGAGATTTACGTAACGATGACAAGGAGCTGGGAAACTACAGCTTCAAATCTCTACTCTGCTAAGGAAGCTTGCTGAGTGACCCTGGGCCACTCACACACTCTCAGCCTAATCTACCTCACAGGGTTGTTGTGAGGATAAAATGGAGATGACAATGAAGTAAGCCACTTTGGGTCATCATCGGGGAGAAAGGCAAGATGAAAATGAGGTAAATATTCAATTCAATTCAATTTATTACAGGTCTATATGACCGAAGTCTTGACCAAAAAAGATACAAAAGGGGGATAAGATAGGTGCATAAAATAGACATAACATATGACAAGGTGCATAATCACAGTCACATAAAACCCAGGCAGAGCCCAGAGATTAAAAATTACCTAACTACACTTGGGGCGGAGCCAACTAACTAAAATCATCCGAAGATTAAAAGTCGGTGTCGGAGTTTACAGAAGTGCTAAAATTTTCAATGTTAAGAGCAGCAACCTTAGCCAGGAACTGCGCCACGTTAGCTGTTATCAATCCATCGGCATTTGAGTCAGATAACAGTACTGAAAGCACCCAAGGTTGCGAGGGAAGATTCATCTTCGTAAGAATAGGAAAGATATAAGTGTCTCTAACTTGAGTCCAATGAGGTAAATAAAATAAATAAATACCTGCTGTGACATGAGAACACCAGCTACAAAGAAACTGCTTTCCCCTTCACAATTATTATCTCTTTCATAAATTGTTAAAATCATTACATACAATTAATAGTTTTTGGTCTGCAATCCTAAGGACACTTGTCTAGGAGTAAGCCCAATAGTTAGTCTCAACTTGTAACTTAATTCTGGATAGACAGACCTGCTTAGGCTTTCTCTCTCTGTTTACTCGTGTGACAACCCTGTGAAGATGTTAGCCTCTCAACAAAGAAAATTTTGCATGAGATGCTTCCACAAAGGGTTTATTAAGAGAGGTGGAAAAACCTTGCATTTCTACTAATCTGAATAATGCAAGGTTGTTCTTTATGGATGGTCTCCCTAGGTTTACTAAATAATTTTAAAGCATCTGAACATTGTAACATTACTGGATTATGTATTTAAGAAGTGGTGCTTTCACAACTACCATATATTTAAAAGTAGTATTTTAAACACATTGCCATTCAAAGATACTCAGGCTTGGCAATAACATGATATTGCTGCAGCAACACAAATGTCAAAAGCCCTATGCAACATTAATAGTGATTGGAAAGCGGGTTAAAGGCAGCAAACAAAGCTTGTCAGAGCCCTAAATGCCAAGAACAGAAGGCCCCTGGCACACTCTCCCGCAGGGCAATGACCTAGGGCAAAGTACAGTGCCACACAATGTCAGCTTGAAACAAGCGCTCAAAATCCAATGGCTGGATAGATGGCAAACACTTGCTTATGCAAATTCAGCTTCATTTCATAGCATATCCAAATTCATTTTATACATGTCCATAGCTTACGTGATACTACAGCACCTTTTTGCACTGTTTGAATGCCCTATTAAACAATGAATCTTGAGTGAAATATTCATTTAAGAGATCTTGGGATGGCAGAATTAACTCCTGCTGATGCAGCTCCTTTTGATTTCATACTGGATATTTTCTTTATACAGTTAATGCAGCATAAAATAAGTAAAAGCACCCTAATATGTTGCAGACAGGATACCAAGGGCATTTGGTTGCCAACTCTAGGTTGGGGAATTCCTGGAGATTTGGAGGTGAAACCTGAAGAGGGCAGTGTTTGGGGAAGGAAGGGAGCTTAGCAGGGTATAATGCCAGGGTCCATCCTGTGAAGCAGCCATTTTCTCAAGGGGAATTGATCTCTGTAGTGTGGAGATCTCCTGAAGATCTCCATGTCCAGCCTGGAAGCTGGCAATCATACCAGGGCATCTTTGCACCAATGACGACTTCCCTGCATGGAAACAGAGCATGTTACCGTCCTTGTCTGTCCTCTGGTCTCCTGGAGGCATACTGCAGCTCTTGGCACTCACCAAGCAGACGAATCATGTGGTCAAGCAAAACCCAATCTACTAGATAATAGTCACGCTGTTTACTCACAAGTAGATCTGCTAGCTGGAAGAGAGTCAAGCTGCTGCTTGCAAACAAGTTATGTTGCAACTAGCAGATCTTCTCCCAAAGAATGGATGGAGAAGACCTGCAGTGTGTGTGTGGGGGGGAACCTCTGTTTTAAGCAGTGGGCTTCCCAGCCAAAGGGATCCACTCCTACAGGAGCATCCCCACTTGCCCTGGGAAAAACAAGGCACTCGCAGGGAGGTTCCATATTGCTGCCAAAGCAGATTCTTGCTAAAGATGCAGCACATCTTTTTAATGCTTGTTCTTTGCTAACTGTGAAAGGCACTGGGCTTCCTGCTTTCAAGTTTTTTTTTAAAAAGCAAATGAACAGGCATCATGAAATTTCGAATGGCCTGCTTCTTAAACTTTAAACCACTATCACCTGCCAACCGCGTCATCACTGAATGCTCATCAAAGCTGCAGGGAAAAGATTAGGACATCAAAACAGGGAGGGCAGAGCAACTTTGTTTACATTGGTATATTCATGATCTGTGCATGTGATACACAGATCTCAGGCATACACTCATTGAGTAACTCATGTCCAATAGCTGTCAGCCAATTCCTGGATGATTGGCTAGATTCCATTTCTCTGCATGCCATTTTGGAGAGCCTGGGGGAGAAATCTGTGATTTTATCTTCAAGGCCCCCCCAGATATGTAGATCTCCCAGTTAAGAATCACTATTTTAATATGATGGCAGACTATGAAAATCACCTACAAATAAGTACTAAGGAAGGACAGAGGGACCCAGTGGCTTCTCATTCAAATGCCTTCCCTTTATTTTTAAATGAACAGAACTGTCATGGCATCTGGGAACTGTAATTCCATAAAAGGATTGAAATTCTCTGTTGAAAGTTATCTCAACACCCTTAGAAAATTACTATACCCAAGACTTCTAGCGGAAGCCACACTATTTCAAATTATTTAAATGTGGATGTATCCTGAGATCATCTACAAGATAACCCAAATCCAGTGGAGTGGAGTGGTCAGAGTGTCAGAAGACTAGGACCTGGGACAGACTAGGACCTTGGGCCAGTCACACACACTCTCAGCCTAACCTACCTCACATGGTTGCTGAATAAAAAGGAGGAAAGGAGAACTCTGTAAGCCGCTCTGAGTCCCCACTGGGAAGAATGGTGGGGAAGTAAATACATAAAATAACCTCATGTGAATGGGTCTGATTTATGCCTGATAACATCCAGAGGTCCATCAATGGCTATTAGCCACAAGGTATAGATAGGGGCTCTGGGGCAAGTGATGCTCTGTCTTCTTGGTGCTTGGGGGATCAACAGTGGGAGGGCTTCTAATGTCCTGGCCCCACTGGTGGGCCTCCTGATGGCACCTGGTATTTCTGGCCACTGTGTGATACAGAGTGTTGGACTGGATGGGCCTTTGGCCTGATCCAACATTGGCATCTCTTATGTTCTTATGTTCTCTATAATGAGAAACAGCAGCCTGAAAGGAGGCTTGCTGAGCAAAGCAGCTGTATGCAGGACTTTGCAGGAAAGGCACTGTTTTTTTTAGTACCTTCAAGGATGGAATATAAGCAAACATCTTTGGGTAGTCCTTAAGGAGTTACACGGAAGGGTATACATCCATCCTGTTGCATTGTTCACATCTGAAAAACAAGCAATTATACTTTTTCACAGTAGGAGAAGTCATGAGGGATTACCAAAGTTTCTCTTTGCTCTACTTCTTATGTGAAAATAATTATAACCTGTGCATAGTAAACATACTCTGGGAAGGGGGTTGGTGTGCAACAACCACAAAAATAAGTTTTGTTTACTGGACCTGCCCCATGGCCTATCAGCAGCCTGATTCACAGGAACAGCTGAAATTTTCCACTGTTCCAACTAAACTCTCCCCAAAATGTACCCACTCAATTTCTGCATGTCAAAAATTTACTAACCCCAAGAGCCAACACAGGTGTTAGCATACTAGCTCTCTCGATAGGAACCAAGATTCCTGTTTCTCCATCACTTTAATTCCTCTCTCCAAGGAAACACAAAACATTAACCACTATACTTTTTTGGAATAAGTAACCAAATCCATACAACAGGGCCATTCGCAATTACCATATACTGCAGAAACTCAGAGCTCAGGCAGCATTTGGGACTTTCTATGGCAATAGCAGATGGTATGTGAACACTGGCAGTGGTCAGATAGGAGGAAAGATGACAACTATTAAGAGATTAGGCCTTTTCATAGTCTCTTGTTAAAATTTAAGCAACAGTTCACACTGAGGCTAGGGTTGCCAGGTCCCCTCAGCTTGCTGGTGGGGGGATTTGGGGGCATTCTAGGGGTGGGCAGGGACATCATGTGACATCCCCAATGCAATGACATCAAGCAGAAGTGATGCCATCAAGATGGGGATGTCGCACAGCAACACTTTGCACTTGGGGTAAAACTCTATGGTTTTTTTGGCCTAAAACCATAGTTTTGCCCCAAAAGCAGAACGTCACGGGCAGCACAACATCCCAATGTAATAGCATCAAGGGACATCATCACATTTGGGGGCTGGGCTTCTCCCGCCGGCCAACTAGCAGGCAGTGGGCAAAAGCTAAAAAAATCAGGGGAACCCCACCCGGACTGGGGGTCTGGCAACCCTGAGGCCTACAGAATCATTTAAGTTTCCTCTTCTCTGAGAATTAAGGTCAAGCTGCTTGTACCTTCAAAGAGCTAGGTAAGGGAGATGGAGGGCAACCCAGGTTCCAGTCAGACTGTTAGGCCTGGCAGTTTCAAGGCCACAAGAATCTACACCAATACATTTCATCTCATTAGTGCCCAAACCCATAGATCAGTGATGGCGAACCTTTTCGAGACAGAGTGCCCAAACTGCGACCCAAAACCCACTTATTTATCACAAAGTGCCAACACGGCAATTTAACCTGAATACTGACGTTTTACTTTAGAAACTTTATTTCTACATTAACTTAAGATGATCCAAACAAAGTAAGGAAAGCAACCCCAAATGCTTTCATTTACTTACAATTATTTGGCAGATAATTTGACACTTTAATGATGGTCTGGGCCTGGCTAGGAACTCCCCACCCCCTCAAGTAACGCCCCCTGATAGGGACGTTGAGGGGCCTGGCAACCCTAAGTTACATGTGATTCGTCATTTAGAATCAGGCCAATGTAGGTCTAGTGCTATTTTTCTGGATTACATCTATTCTGGGGACATTTTTGAATCTGGATGGGCCACACTGACTAGTGCTCTTGTCTTGGACTTTTGCCTTTAAGGTTTTTTGACAGTGACCTAGTAGGGGGGGAGAAGGAGTGAGCCAGAAGCAACTGAGAGAGCACAGGATATAGGAGATAGCTTGGCAAATCATTCCCACATCTCTCTTGTGTGTGTTGATTAAATATCTGTACAAGCCCAATCTGTGATATGTTGGGCTTGGGAAAGGGAGAGTCCACCGTTGGGTAAAATCAAGCCAGAAGCATTCAATTTTGAGAGCAGACATGAGAACAGGACATGTACATCACCTCCCCAGGGAGAGTAGGGAATGCAGAAGTGGCTGTTTCTGTGTGCAAGAAAGCATTTCCTAGCATAGTCCAACTCTCCCACCTCATGTTGGTTAAAGGTGTCACATACCACAGAGGAGACCTGAGTTGTAGACATGGATGTGCCTCACCTTACACTTACCAAGATGGAATTTCATTTGCCACATTGTCACCCACTCACACAGTTTGGGAAGATGCTCTTGGAGCTCTTGGTCAGCCTTCTTTTTCACCATCCTGACTAAATTTGTGTTGTCTACAAACTTGGCCACTACATTACTAACCCCTAGTTCCAGATCACTTATGAATAAATTAGAAAGTACCTGCCCCACAATACTGATCTTTGTGGGACCCCATCGCTTACTTCCCTCCATTGTGAGAACTGTCCATTTATTCCTACTCTTTGCTTGCTTTTGTTTAACCAATTTTTAATCCACAACAGAACCCGTCCTCTTATCCCATGATTGCTAAGTTTACTGGTGAAGTACCTTGTTCTGGTGAAGTACCTTGTCAAAAGCCTTTTGAAAGTCCAAGTGCATAATGTCTACTGAGTCACTGTTGTGTACATGCTTGTTCACTTTCTCAAAGAACTCCAAAAGGCAGGGCTTCCCTTTGTACAAGCCATGCTGATTTTCTCTCAGCAGACTTTGTTCCTCTATGTGCCTAATAATTCTATCTTTGATTACAGTTTCTACTAATTTGCCCAGGACAGACATTAGTAACAACAAAGACACTGTAATAAGATGCTAAATAAAGTAAAATTCTAATTATACTTAATTTATATATTGTGTGCAATTATTTGTATATGCTAAAGTGTACAAAAATATACAAATATAATCTTCAAAAGAGAAATACAGTATAAATCAACATGGAAAGAAGAATCATTTGAAATAAGAATCAGACATCTGAAAGAAGAATCACATGAGGATTCCAGGCATAAATTCACTCCTTTTGTTAAACTTCTTCAGTGAACTGAAAATTGTGCAAATTCCATAAATGGAACATATAAACATATAAGTATCTTAAAACAAGATGAAAAATCTACAATTGAGGTTTACCCAGTATCAATACTACAAATACATATTTTTAGGTTTACCCATTATCAATAATGATACAAATATATTTTTCTCTCCAAGGTATGTGAATGCCAGGGAGGTAACAATCAATCCTATAAAAGAATCACAATGTAATGTGCTTACCATTTATGTATTAAATACAAAATTGCAAAAGTAGTCTTATTACAGTGTTTTTGTTGTTACTTCATGTTTCTTACACACTGTAATCCTTCTTATGCTGGTGGGACAGATGTTAGGCTGACTGACCCATGATTTCCTGGTTCCCCTTTGGACCCCTTTCTAAAAATTGGTTTAACATTTGCTACTCTCCAGTCTTCTGGTACAGCACCTGAATTTAGTGATAGGTTACTTACATGGGTTAGTAGATCAACTATCTGACATCTGAGTTCCCTAAGAACTCTGAGGTATATGCTGTAGTAGAGATGGGACTATAAAGATTTCCCCCTTTTTTGATTATTCATATTTCTCTGGTTTTTATAGATTTAAAGTAATATTTTATTAGGATGTTAGAAAGGCCTGTTATATAGAAGGCTTTCCTCTTGTAGGTCTGATATTGCTAGCAGACAACATAATAGGTACAAAGTTCATGATTCTGTAGTTCCTAAGGGCAAAACCTTGCAATGTCTGGGTCAGAGACGATTTTAGTCTCGTATCAGTAATGAATACTTTTGTTTAGGGTATGAAGAATCCTTGCCCATGATCATTTAGGTTAGGTTAAGTAAACACTTAGGTTTTATGTAGATTTGACGTAGATATATGTTTCTTTACATCTGACAAATCAGAGGCTTATTACTCAAATTACCATTGTCTTTCGTAAACAATTATGCTTTTTGAATATTGTTTTCTTGATGATGTCAGTCCATGTATAAAATATCATGTATTTCCTGAATATGTTCAAGAAGATGATGATGAAGAAGAAAAAGAAGACAGTTGTCAATTTTTGATTAGTTATTTGGTCCAATTGTTTTCCTTTTAATTGAAGCATATTCCCTGAATATGCTGAGGAGAAAGTAGTCAATTTTGGATGGACTATTTGGTCCAACTGTTTTCATAATTGAAATAAAACATAGATCTTCCTCCTCATTTGACTTCATTTTTGACATGGAATCTAATATGTACAACAATGCCATCAGGACCTAGAGACATATTGGTTTTTAATACAACTTCATCTCTGGTCACTTCAATTTGGGCCAGTTCTTCAGACTCCCTTCCTGAAAGCAGTGACTGTGGCATGGGTATATGCCCCACACTTTCCACAATGAACACAGAAGCAAAAAATTAATTGAGCTCCTCTGCCATCTCCCCATATTCAGTTTTTGTAAAGTTCCCTTTTCTGAAATCAAATGCTCCAGTTTTGGACTTCAGGGGTATCTTTCCACTGACATGAATGCTGAACTCAATAACACTATGGTCACCTTTGCCAACTGCTGCAACAACCTCTACATCGCTCACCAGGTCTTGAGCCCCACTCAGACCCAACTCCAAGATCACCGTCCTTCTGGTTGGCTCTGTGACCAGCTGTTCCAGTGCACAGTCATTTATGATGACTAGGAATCTCACTTCTATAGCATGGCCTGAGCTCATGTTTACCTAGTCAATGTGAGGGTAGCTGAAGTCTCTCAATATCATAATATTATCTGCTTTAGTCACCTTGCGGAATCTAATCTGGGAAAACCGGGTTTGATTCCCCACTCCTCCACTTGCACCTGGTTGACCTTGGGCAAGCCGTAGTTCTGATAAGAGCTGTTCTTGAAAAAGAGTAGTTTCTGTCAGAGTTCTCTCAGCCCCACCTACCTCACAGTTTGTCTGTTGTGGGGAGGGGAAGGGAAAGGAGTTTGTAAGCCGCTCTGAGACACCTTTGGGTAGTGGAGGGCGGGGTATAAATCCAATCTCTTCTTCTCTTCTTTAGTCACCTCCCTTATTTCCTTCTCCATCTCAAGATTAGCCTCAAAAGTTTGATCAAGTGGGTGTGATAGTATACCCTCACTCTTATAGCTCAGTATCTCCACCCATATCTCTTCTGCTGGGGAGTGAATTCCCCTGAGGTTTTCTGTCTTGATTTTATACCCTCTTTGCTGTACTATGCCGCACTTCCACCAAACCATCCCTCCCTGTCCTGCTTATAGAGCTTATACCCAGGATGACATCCAGAACATCCTTTCAGAAGAGCCCTACGATTGGTTGCAAAACGTTAGGACACACCCTGCTTTGCTATAAAGTATAGCCTATGATAAGATGGTACATCTTTCCTTTTGCATTTGTTTTCTTTCTTTTACTCCACCTGTATTGCCTACGGGCATTTGCTGAATGCTCTGGAACATGTTGCTTTAGTTATGAGAACCTAATATTTTTGGTGTAAAATTGAGTAAGTTAAGTAGCTAGATAGCGGTTTTTGTTTTCTGTGTGCATTTGAACTGTCACTGGAACTATATGTAATGGTTTTAAAACCTTTTCTTAAATTTCTTCAATAAAGCTTTCTTTTGCCTTATGGTATGCGTTACTGGAGTCTTCTGAACCAAATCCAGTTCAAGCTTGGTTACATTACACCAAGGCAGATAACCTTTGACACTGTATTAAACCATCAGAAGTCCAGTGGCAACTTAAAGACTAACATCATTTATTCCAGTATGAACTTTCGCGAGGCAGAGCTCACTTCTTCATACTGCTTACCTCATTTTTACAGAAAATTAGCTAATGGGGGATGTAAAGAATGATAGGAGAAACTACCCACGCAGTTCAAGTTTCCATATAACGAATCTCAGCTCCTCCCTCTTTCTCCCCTTCTCTAATTTTCTGTAAAAATAAGAACAGTAATATTCTTCCCATTGTATCTGAAAAAGCAAGCTAGGACTCATGAAAACCTGAAGTTGCCAAATCTGAACTGAGAAATTCCTGGATTTTTCAGGGAGGAGCGTCGGGAGGATGGAGTTTGAAGAGGGAATGAGTTCAGCAAGGATATCATGCCATGGAGTCCACCCTTCAAAAGTACAATTTTCTCCACGGAAAATGACCTGTAGTCTGGAGATCAGTTATAATCCCATGACCACATGGAAATTTACAGCTCTATAACTCATTTTAGAATACCACCAGACCCGTTTTGTTTTGCTCCATAGATCCGTCCAACTGCCTTGAAAGCCCACTGAATCAACTGGCACAACCGCGCTGCATTTAAATGCCGACCACGCCCTGTGAACGGGACGAAAGAGGCCCTAGAAATACCGAGACTTTCATGTTAACCTAGCAAGACTTGGAGCCTCCGCACTTTCCTCGGCGCGGCCACCCGCCTCCGGCTGCTCACCTTAAGCCCGGCCGAGCCAGTCAGTTTTTTGGAAAGAGCGCTGCTGATTGGCTGGAGGCGGCGCAAGGCAGCAATGGAACGCCGGACGCGAAGCGCAGCTGATGCCAATTGGGAGAACCGCCGATTGACTTCCTCTTTCCTGCCTCAAAGGGAGGAGGAGGAGGGAGAAAAGTTTGGGTGACGCATGCCCATTGGAGGGCAGCCGTTTGAGGAAGCCCCTCCTACACACCCTCTCTGTCGGGGCAGCCACTAGTTGAACTCATTTTTGGCTTTGTCTGACTCGTGGAGCTTCCTGTTTTCTAACGTTCTAGGGTCTGATTGGTAGTTCTGATTGCCAATTACTTTTCCTGAAGATTCAGATAACTGATGCGCCCCACTTCGCTTGCTTTTCCCCTCCCATCTGCCCAGTTTCTAATTTCTGTACTTGATTGGGCGAGCGAAATGCTCATCATGTAACTGACAGAACCGGAGTCGGCCATTGACGAGAGGGTTCAGTTATCTTCCTTGAATCCTGAGAGCTGCCGGAGGTCAGCTGAGCTGCTTTTGATTAGCCCAGCAACCCATTTGTTAGTTCCTAGCCCTATCACAATAAGGCTGAAAGCCCCACCTCGCTTCTGATTGGTTTGTCAACGCACAACTAGGAACAGACACTGCCGAGCGAGAGGGGCAGTTTAACAGCAGAAGGTCTGTATACTTGTTGGCGATATATTATCAATACTGTTAATCATTCGTCAATATATATCATTCTCCACATGTCCAAGCTGTGCCTCCTTAAATACAGAGACTGGACTGGTGAATGGGCAAGGCAGATCTTTCTACAAACCTCATAAACGCCATAGGTTTGCAGAAAAATCTGAAATCTTAAAAAAGAGAGAGAAGGAAGCAGGAAAAGGGGAGAGACTTACAGGAACTTTCAAGGCATAGAAAGAAGAAAGGCAAGGGAGGAGAAAATTAGACCCCCCCCCCGGAAATCAGTGTGGGTCCCCCTGTTTGTGATTATATAGTGTTAAATGTACAGTAGTAGAGTTTGCTATTTATATTGTGCAAGGTGAGTGTTCAAAGAGCATTTTCCTTTGTATGCTTATTTTGTTGCTAATGCTCTTATACAATACAATGTTATTTGAATTTTTTTTGGCCATTTACCTAAAAGCTCAAAGTGACTTACAGATAAAATCAAATCACAGCATCAGACATCTATTGAAACCTGAACTGGGATTCCTTAAGAACTCTCAGTTCAGGAGATTTCTTAGCTTCTACTAGTGTTAATGAACGGAGCTCGGAGTAGGATCAAAAACTGGTTCATTAATAGAAAACAGAGTGAGTATAAATGGGCAATTTTCTCAGTGGAGGGTGGCAAGCATTGGGGTACCGCAGGGATCAGTACTTGGTCCACTGCTTTTTAACTTGTTCATTAATGATTTGGAGTTGGGAGTAAGCAGTGAAGTGGCTAAATTTGCGGATGATACAAAGTTGTTCAGGGTGGTGAAAACCAGGGAGGATTGCGAGGCACTCCAAAGGGATCTGTCAAGGATGGGCAAGTGGGCGTCAACATGGCAAATGGGGTTCAATGTGGCCAAGTGCAAGGTGATGCACATTGGAGCAAAAAATCCTAAATATAAATACACATTGATGGGGGTCTGAACTGGCAGAGACTGAACAAGAGAGATCTTGGAGTTGTAGTAGATAACTCACTGAAAATGTCGAGATATTGTGTGACTGCAATAAAGAAGGCCAATGCTATGGTGGGGATTATTAGGAAGGGTATTGAAAACAGATCAGCCAATATCATAATGCCCCTATATAAATCAATGGTGCGACCTCATTTGGAATACTGTGTGCAGTTCTGGACACCACACCTTAAAAAGGATATTATAGCTTTGGAAAAAGTGCAGAAAAGGGTAATTTGAATGATAAAAGGGTTGGAACACTTTCCCTATGAGGAAAGGTTAAAGCGCTTTGGGCTCTTTAGCATGGAGAAACAACAGCTGAGGGGTGACATGATTGAGGTTTATAAGATTATGCATGGGAAAGAGCAGGTAGAGAAAGAGGTACTTTTCTCACAGTACAAGAACTTGTGGGCACACCATGAAATTGCTGAGCGGTTGGGTTAGAACGGTTAAAAGGAAGTACTTCTTCACCCAAAGAGTGATTAACACATGGAGTTGGACTGGATGGGCCTTTGGCCTGATCCAACATTGGCGTCTCTTATGTTCTTAAGAACCAGCAAATGATCTCTGCCTTGTTCTTGATTAGATTTGAGTTTTGTGTAAGTATACTTAGCTTCCCGTGTCCTAAGGCCTCTTGACCCTGTAGTTTATTTTCTTAATTTTATTTATTAACAAAAGTTATATCCTGCCTTTCATTAAGGCAGCAAACAGATTAAAAACACACCTTACAAACATTTAAAAAACACATCAGTCAAAAAGTTAAAAGCAAGTTTATTTTCTGATTTCTCCGTGCATGAAATAACTGCATAGTAAGAATCCACTGATCAAGTAGGCTCCTGTTTAAAATCAGGACACCCATTAAAATACACAAATCTTAGAATGAACAAAATGCCTCCCCTAAAAAGCTTTGATAGATTTTATCTATCTTCATTCATTCATAGATCTTTTTCTCATTGGGACTCCACTTTCCAGGCAACTTGTTCTGCAAGGGGGGGATCTTTTGTTTAGGTTGAGATGGTCCTTTTCTCAAAGAGTGATGGAAGGCCAGAATAGTGTCACAGCCTTGTGCAGGCAGTCCTTCAGCTATATGCAATCCCTATAAATTGGGTACAGTACATGGAGTCATTCTTCTCAGAGAGGAAAATTTCTGGCTTGGATTAACTGGGAGTCACATGGAGTAATACAGCTTGGGTGTAGCTTTATTCTTCTTCGTGCAGGGTGTGGCTGCTACTTCCACTTGTTTGACAGATGGTGGGGATCACAAAAGAATGTTTGGAGCCTTAACTAAAAGTGTGCGAGCCATCTCTAGCGTTAGGAATCACTGAGGTGTTCCCACCCCCCCTCATTTTTCTTTTCCAGATCTGGTATCCAGTCTTGCACACTTCGGAGGCATTATAAAAGGAGGGGCAGGATGAAGAAAGAGCAGGTGTTGAACTGTCAGTTCTCCTTCTGGTATCCACGTTTCAAGAGCCAGACTATCCGCAGGTGAGAGAGAGGCCCTGGCAGGTGGGGTTTTTCTTAAGCTATGTGTTTCGGAGAGGAAGCTAGGAAGTATTCCACTTCCTTCTTCCGCCAGTCTCTTTGCAAACACTCAAGACGTACTGTCTGTGAGTAAAGCTTAGAATGTTATTTACAATACAGTACCAAGGCTCTGCTTTGGTAGAAGACACACACGCATGCATACGTACATAGCAGGCTGTGCTCCAGTGACAAAGTGTTTGAAACAAGGAAATAAACAGGTGAGTTTAGCAGATGTACAAGGAGAGAGTAAGTGGCAGATATTTATATAAAAACAAAGTTTTAATATAAACCTCTATCAAGATAGGCTAAGTGAAAAGGGTTAAAATAGTAAGGAGGGCAAATGGTTAAAAATACCTTTAGATACCAACGTTTTGTAACTTCTCTGTATTGTAGCTGCTCACACTACTCAGGTGTAGCTAATTCTAGTTCTGTTCTAATTTTAGTTTGATTGTAGCTGTTCAAGCTACTTAGGTGTGGCTTATTTTAATTCTAAACTGGTTCAGAGGTTCTTGGCTAGTTTTACTGCAGTACAGGAAGGGTTAAACAGGGTCAGACAAAGGACAAGGATTAAAATTTAGGGTACATGGCTAGTTTAACCTCTAATATTACTTTGAAACTTTATTACACTTATAGATTAAAGTACTACTACCAGATACTAGGGATTGTGAGTTCACAGATAAGACTAAACCTTAGGCATGTTTTTGTAGTAGAAAAAGGAAAACAACAAAGCAGAGAATCTGAATCGGCCTACAGCAGCCCGAAAGGGGCCTGAATGGGCCATTTTTGGGGGTGCATTCGGTTCAGATGAACCAAATGCACATCCCTAGTTATTTATTCTTGTCCTTAGAACTAAAGGCGATTTTCCTCCTTTTTTGTCCTGTAAGTCAAGATGATATTTTGATGAGAAGACTAACAAGTAATTGCAGAGATCACAGGGAACTGTGCTATGTTTTTTGTGTCTCTGTTGTCCTCAAGTTGTGTTTCGTTATTCCTTCAGCATCATACTTCCATTGCCACAGAATGTGAAAGATTACTTACTGGATGATGGAACTCTGGTAGTTTCAGGAAGGTAAGAGTCTCTGTCTTCTAGAGGTGACCTGACTTGAATGACCTAGAATAACCAGATATTGTCAAGTCTCAGAAGCTAAGTAGGGTTGGCCCTGGTTACTACTTGGATGGGAGACCACCAAGGAAGCCCAGGGTTGCTATGCAGAGGCAAGCAACGACAATGGCAAACCACCTCTGTTTGTCTCTTGCCTTGGAAACTTTATGGGTTCACAATAAGTTGGCTGTTTTTGTTAACTATAATTAGTGCCTACCAGGGGTCATTTTGTAGAAAAAGATGTGCAGGAGCTCATTAGCATAACTCATTAGCATAACTTATTTGCATGTGCCACACCCCCTGGAATCACCAGAAGTGTGTCAGAAGGCAACACCCACTGCTCAGGTTCCACTGGACTGTTTTGGATTGCTAGCTATTGGGGGGGACGTGCAGATCTGTCCTCGCAGAGGAGGGCGAGCCTGTACCTGAAGGCGGACCGGGGTGGGACTCTGCAACTTACCTGGCTGCTTCTTGCTCCTCATGGCCCGACTGAGGGCTGCTGGGAGCAGAGGGTGGGACTTGTTGCATGTGTCTGCCCCCTGGGCTCCTTACTGCCGGAGCTCTGCTCCTGTGCGTTCCTGCAGGAAATGACCCCTGGTCCCTACCCTCTAGTCACTCCAACACACGTCATGTTTTTCTCTAACTGTTTGGTCTCCACCATACTAGCTCCAAACACCCTGCACAAAGGTCCACTCAATCCACCAGGTTCACTGTACAGTAAATATAGTAAATAGCCGTAACAGTGACGGTATTACTAGAACCTGTATTTATGCTGGTTATATAACTCTCATCTTTCTGCGGTCTACACTCCTTTGTTTTTGTATGTTGCGTTATGTAATTAATGTATTGTACTATATAAAATTAAAAAATAAGTTGGCTGTGACGTGACGGCACTTTGCATAACACTGCAGATATTTTAAAGTTAAATATGAATGGAGTGCTCTTAATATTTGGACACTTTTTTCTCTCTCAGCTTCCCTATAAATGGTGAACATGGGTTAGAATAGGGTGACCCACACTTAAAATTTCTATTTAAAACAAATGTGTAGATCAGTGGCTCAAACTGTGACTGCAGAGCATTCAGGTGCCTTCCCATGATTTATTTGTTTGTTTAATTAGATTTAAAATAACTTTTATTACCTCTCTGCATTCATGCCTAAGACCGTTTACAGCATCATAAAAGATGCAATGCTTAACACAAAAATCAAAGTAGGTCTAAAATTAATTTTAAAGCAACAGCAGAAGTAAACCAAGAAGATCTAAGAGTTAAATCATCAATATATTGGGCTGGGGGGGGGGAGATTGACAGCCCTAAACTAATTAAAAGCTTGCAGAAGATAGAGGAAAATGTTTTAGCCTGGTGCTGGGAGAGAGAAGGAAATAGTTAGGGCGTCCCTGCTGAAATGGTGGTTTCTTTCTGTCTACCCAACTAACCTCTGGGGGGTGGAAGATGCAGGGCAGGTGTATAGAGAGACAGGTTTTCTGTCAAGTACTTTGTCCCCAAGTTGTATCAGGCTTTATATGTTAAAACTAGGAAATTCATTTGGGCGTGGTGAGAAACAGGCAAACAGTGAAGGTTTTTAAAGTACCGGTCTAATATGTTGCCTTTAATCCATATCTGATAGTACTCTAGCTACCGCATTCTGGACTAATGGACATTTCTTAAAAATCTTCAGGGGCAGCTTTATGTAGAACACCTTAAGGTAATCTATCTTGAAGGTGCTGAGAACATGGATCACTGGCTGGATCTTGAGGACCAGCCAAATTTAGTTAAAAGTGCTACATTCAGCAGATGGTACTGGGGTGGCTTTATAGTCTAAACATTCTTCTGTTTGGAGGGATCCTTGGCATGGATGTTAAGGAACCCAAGCAATATTAATCTCTGGACCTTAAAATCAACACCACCACTCAGGTATCTCAGGTAGGAAGCCTGTGTATCAGAGTGGACAGTACACCAAGAGCATTTTCATCTCTCCCAAGTGTCCAACAGCAGATTCAGACACTCTGTATTAGGGCTGTGTCTGACAGTACACCTGCACAGAGTAACGTAATCATGGTAGACCAAGACAGTTTCCTTTCATCAGCCCCCACAATCTTGGAGGATCTATCTGGAAGGGTTCTTAATCTTCCTATGTTGTGCAACTGGGTCTTGTTGAAACAAGCCAGGTTGGTTTCAGTCTTGGAGAGGAAGCTTGGAAAATTATTGTTTTGGACATAACCAAACTGGTATTTTTAATAGTAGCATTTTTAGGCCTGATCAAGGCAGATCCTAACCAACAGGATCGAAAGGCTAGGAGTGGGACAGTCTGACTCATCTTCCTGTTTACTGGCTCGTTCCTATTCCTCTGTCTTAATTTCTCCGGCCCTGAACAACAGAATTAGTGTCCCCAATCCCTGAAAGCCAAGGCTCGCTCAAGAACTATCAATAAAGTGACTGAGTCCCGGTCCTTGCTGGCCCCCTAAGAAGTAACAAAAAGATATAATTCCCTTGGATGTCACCCTCTGTCAGCAAGCTGCCAATATGTCTTTTCCATGCATATGAGATGTGTCCATTCCCCCCCCCCTCTCCTGGCTTAGACTCTTGTGCGCATGTTCCCCCTCACCCTCATGAGTTCATCTTCAACTGCATTCCTTTCCATGTACGCTAGCAGTGCTTTGAAGGAACCTTATCTACCAAGGCTACAGGTGGTTCGCGTTTGGAGGCTTTTTGCTTAGTCTATAATGAACAGTAGTGTGAGAATAGAACCGTTGCTTTCTCAGGGTTTGGGTGCGCGATGAGTCCTCAGGGCGGGCGCGGGAACCATATCTATTGGCCCATGTTATTTTAAACTTGCTTTATTATACCTGTCTCAAGCACCTTGTGTTATTCTGAACAGAGAATCTGTTCTAAGTACTTCATGGCTTCAATAAAATAAAACCTTCCTGCAAGAGTGTATTTCATTGTTTGCTGTGAGTCTGACACCCTCTCAAAACCACAAAACTTCTGGGCCACAAGCTGGCAGGTTTCCTGAGCAACCATACATTGCTAAGACTGCTCCCTTTCGAGCATCTCTGTTGCTTTGCCACTATGGTTGAGCTGCTTCTGGTGCTTCTCCTTGCCTCTCTCCACAGGCAGCATTAATAGGGAAATGTGGGGCTTCCAAGATTTTACGTAGCCTCACCCCAGACAGTTTGTAATATTCCAGCAGCCTACAGATCAAACATTCATGCTGATGAATAATATTGTCCTAGTGATAATGGTTTTAAACTTTTCTGTATTTACTTGCTTGGCTATAGCCGGGGAAAGCAGTTGTGTGGGGTGGAGGGAAACATGCCCTTTTTCTGCCCGTTGAAGAGTCTGGAAGATTAAGAGAAGTGTCCCAGCCAAAGTGTTTCTCAGTGCATTCATAGAATCAATTTCTTGCTCCACACAAGCCAAAGGAATGAATGTAGTCCCATTGGTTTTGTCTGAAGAAGGGTCTGGAGATAACTACTCCCCCATATAGCGGGTTATCTATCTGCCTCAAGTGAAGGGAGCAAACGTGTTCCTTTCACTCATATGGAGCAAGATGACAGTTTCCGTCTTCCCACTTCTGTTTTTTAGGGAAGACCTCCCAACATGTTCCCAAGACGATGGTGATGGCAATGAGGTGGAGGAAGTTCAGGTTTGTACAGACCGTGGGAACTTTATTTGCAAGATCATAGAGTTGGAAGAGGCCCCCCTGCTCAATGCGAGATCAAAAAGCATCATTGACAAGCGTTCATCTTATTTTATTGCTATTCTTCTCCTCCCTCCCCCAATGTAGGCTGCAAGCTTTAAATTTTGGAAATTGGTCACTGGTGGTGTTTTCAACTGTCTCTCTCTCACGTTTTTTTACCTGCAGTTAGGGAAGTGGACATCTTCCAATAAGATGGTCTTAGGGATGTGGATTTTGTTTTCCATGTAAACCTTGTGTAGCCTCACGCCTCTTTTTTATGACCCTTTGGCCTGCTTTGTAAGAGGTTGGAAAATAACCCTTTTTTTGTCTTCCTTCCTTCAGTGGTCTGATGACGAGAACACCACAACACTTACGGTAAAACTCTTTATGGAATTTTTACTTCTGGGAATGGTGGTTGTGAAATACAGCTGAATTAAAGGGAAAGTTAATAGTCTGAAGGGTTCTTTAATTCACTGTTGGTTCTGACACAGCTATAGCAGAAATGACCTCTTTCTAAGAAATTGAAACAGAACTCCACTTGTTCCTACAAAAGACAATAGCTTGTCATGCTAGTTCATGTAAAATTGGGGGGAAATTGAAATAGGTATAGTGTCTTTAATCAAATTGGAGAGTATTGTGTGATCATCATTGACAAGTTCCTTCACTTATAATGGCTGGAAGTGTCTTTGGGCACTTCATGCAGAGTTGAGAAGAAAGCCCTTGTAACTGAACCCATTGCTTATCTTGTGCAGTCTTTTTGAGGAAGTGTATCTGTTAAGTCGCTCACTTAACAAAGCAGTCGGAGAGTGATTCAGCAAGAACACAACTTTATTCTTCAACTTGAACACAACTCCAACACGGATCAACATCTGATAGCCAGAAAAGCTTTCACATTGCAGCTGTCCTGCTTTTAAACATTCCCGGCTAATGTAGCCACACCCACTGTACATATACCAACCAATAAGGTTGTTCACATAAGGACCAATCACGGATGTTCCCGCTCAGGGAGCTTGCTAGAAGGTGATTGGTTAGGTGCTTCCTGGGCTAGTAACACGATTGGATGGATTTGGATCCTAGCCCAGGACGAAGCTTTACATAGCATTTCAATTAGATGTTTCACAACATATGCAAGGCAGCTTTGAATACACTACAGTATCAGACCTCATTATCACATTACTCTTGAGGTAGAAAGTTCTGGCAGAACTACCATATGAGAACTTTGGCACAAGCTGGTGTCAATAAAATGCCCTTAAACATTGATGTGCACTATCTTGTAGGTGATCTCCTGGTAAATTGTAAATAGTGCAAATGGTTTTCATCTGGTAACAGTCGATGAACATCTTAACCCTTTGTTTGGGTATTACATGCTCACATTTTACCACGGGATAAAACAGCTTGAGTATAGTGGGTAAGACAGTGAGGAGTGATCCAGGGAGTTGCTGCTCTAAGTTCACACCATGAACTCAGTCTCTTGGGCTCTAATGGAGCTAATCATACTGGTCTACCACACAGGGCTGTAGTGTGGATTGCTGTGGTAATGCACATTAAGTGCTTAGAACACTGAAAGTTAGTGTTACTTATCACTTACATAGGTAAGTGATAAGTAGTATTGTTATTCTCAGAAAATAATAATAATTCCCATGAAGAAATACTGTATTTTTATTTGTCATCCAAATGGGCATGGCCTACAGGATTTCATGGTCAGTTACACCATATCCCCTTTAGTCTGTTACACCATATCCCCTTTGACTTCCTGGCTTAGCACCCCTGCTCCTGCACACTGCAGTCATTTCCTCTGGAGGAGCCCTCATGTTACCTACAACAGTGACCTGAAGGATAAATAAGAAAAGAAAACGGAGACCTTTGGCGTCCCTCCCCCACACCAGCCCCTGTGTTGGGATGTGTGTTGGGGCAATGTATCGGGATATCCTTGGCCTGATCAGAAAAGATAAAATAAAGGCTGAAGGATTCTGAAATGTGCCTGAAAATTATACAATAACTATGGGATGCTCTGGGGTTTTTCATAAGCAGATAGATTGATGGGTAAAAAGATAAATAATTTAACATAACCGACTTATGTTCAAAGTAATACTAGCGATTAAGAATAACATTCATATAAGCTGTTGTTATGATCTCCTATTCTTGGGGTTTTAATTACTAGTGGTTTTCTTTCCTTTCTCCCTAGTTGTAGTTTCCCCTTCCTAATTTTCGGTTATAGTTTGTAGTCTTTAAAAAAAAAATCAATAAAAAACTCCCCTTAGGGGGATTAAAAAAAAAAAAAGGAATATCCTTGGCCTTTCCTCTCCCATCTCACTGCCTTCCATTTTGTTGTGCTCTGAGCATGACAGAGAGAGAATGTGGTGAAATTAGGTAGTGTGTTGTTTTTTTCTGTATCACTTAGGTCTGTACAGCTATTACAGTTGTTGTCAACATTCACTGTCTGGTATGAATAATTTGGATTCATTGTTATAATTCCTTTCTGCAGTTTGAACAAATGCAGAAATGTTTGGGTTGTACAGGACTTCCAAATCCCCATTAGGGCAGGGGTTAAGTCAATTGAAACTGAAGGGTCTGTGAGAGGAAGAACATTCAAATGTCTGAATTGTTTGTTAAGCCTAAATTTTGGAAGCAAATTTTAACGTTTGTTTAAAGTGGTGGCTTTTCTATGATGGCCTCACCAGTAAGTGTTGCCTGTAACTGCTTTGTACCCTGTTTCTTTGTTTCTGCCATCTCCAGGCCCCAGAATTCCCTGAGTTTGCACTGAAAGTTCAAGAAGCCATCAGTGCCCTGGGAGGCAGTGTTTTCCCCAAGCTCAATTGGAGTGCTCCAAGGGTGAGAACATGAATTAAATCCCACAAATCAATTTTAAAAAAAATTGGTATTGCTCTGAGCTGTCTGGAATATAAAAAGAGAACCATGGTGCTGCCAAGTGGAGCAAAAGCTGATTTCTTCTTGGAGAACAGCATTGCACATTTGGCCTAGCAAGGAGTGCCCAGTGTACTCTCTCTAGCGGTTTCGAATATTAAGTTTAAAAAATGAGAGCTATGTCTAGTAGAATTGTCCAGAAATAAGAATTTTTATTTTTTGGCCAATCTCAGCCTCTAGCTGCTATTGGATACAGCAAAATACATCAATCTGTACAGTTTCAAAATATGATGATGTCAGAGATGTGCACCTTACACAGCAAATAAGTTGTGCAGTGCCTTTAGCATTAATGCTGCAGGTTATTGTGGCTTACATGGAAAAGTGTCCCACTGAACTAACTTGCACATGAGCATATTTCAGATCGGGCTATAGAAGTACTAACTGCAGGCTTGCTGTGTTTGACTCAGTTTATTGTAAAGCCGCAAAAATGGCTTTTCTTTAATATGAAAAGCTGTCCAGTTGCACTTCAGTTAATAGTCCATGCCCAGCAGTGCTTAAGAGGAGCTTGTGAAGGGGGATATGGCGAACTTTGATGGAGTTGCAGTCTAGCCTCCCAGACAGTATTTCCTGATAACGTGTATTGATCACATTTGTATTTCTCCAGGGAACTTAAAGACAGGGGTGTCGATCTCATTTGTTATGATGGGTAGTTCTGACATAATTTTTTTTTATATGATTTTATTGTATTTATGTATGGGCTTATGCCCCTGTGAGCCGCCCTGAGCCCGCTTGGCGGGGAGGGTGGGGTAAAAGTGTCTAAAATAAATAAATAATAAAATAAATAAATGAGACCTTGTTGGGCCAGGCCATGTGTGTCATAAAATGTAACGCCAGGTAGCAGAGATATAAACTTTATAAAGGACACAGACAAACACAAAGATTTTTAAACTTGAAACAAAACATGCTTAAAACACTAGCACTCTTGCAATATTTTGTCTATTTAACAGTCTCCAATAACTGACACCTCTTGCTCTGAATTTTTGCGTAAAAATGTCTGTGCTGTAGCAATCCTGAGTATGCTGTTCAGGTGTATATCTGTAAGCTTCAAACCTACTTTTGATTCATTGACATTCATTACAGGGATCTCCTGCTCAATGTTCTGAGCCTAAGACACAGGGGAAAACATGAAATAGCTGGGCATTGCTCCCCAGAGAAATAACTACAATTTCCTACAAAGGAAATGTGCTGGATGAACTTGGTCTGGACACACCTCACTGGCTTGTTGTTATTCTTCCTCTAAAATAGTTCACATTGTTTTCTTACTGAGAAAGACTGGATTATGAGGGCATGAATACAATGAAAAGGGGTAGGGAACCCAGTTGCACCCAGGAGAGCCCTGGCATAAAGAGCCCAACAAAACACATACACACTGTAGCAAGGCACAAGGCAAAAGCTCATACCTTGAACAAACCTTTGTTGGTCTTAAAGGTGCTTGGTATTTCTCCCATTCAATTGAGGCAGCCCAGCAAAGCAAGTTCTCCCTCATTCCCTCAGCCAGTGGAAAGAAAGGTTTCCCTTCATCTCCTGTAGGATTGAGGCAGCCTGGCCAGTTCCTTCTCTCCCCCTGGTAGGAGGAGGGGGAGAAGCCTCAGCCAGTTCTTTCCCAGACTCTCTCAATCGCACAGGAGAGGCTTGCCTATCTATCTCTCTAGCATGATTGAGAGAGTCTGGTAAAGCAAACTGCGACATGGCAGCAGCAGACGAACTGGAAAATGAAGTAGAAAACAGCCAGGTCTTTGTGGGCCGGATTGGAGCCCTCCGAGGGCCTGATCCAGCCCACGGGCTACATGTTTGACACCCCTTAAGATGCACTATGTAGAGCTAGATCTCTATGGACTCTTGGGAATATCTGTGGAAAAATTCGATCAAGATCTCGTCATGTACCAATGTGAAAGAGAATTGTTATAAAATGATGTACAGGTGGTATATGACACCCAAGAAAATAGCCAACATGAACCAAAACTTTTCTAACAAATGTTGGAAATGTAGAAAACATGAAGGTTTATTTTATCATATGTGGTGGACATGTGAAAAAGCTGTGGACTTTTGGACTAGAGTTCACAGCGAAATGCAAAAATTTTTGAAATGTTCCTTTAAAAAAGCACCAGAAATTCTGCTCTTAGGACTTAAAATGGAAGAATTGAATATTACAAAAAGAACTTTATTTTGGTACCTGATTACAACGGCGAGAATACTCTATGCACAATGTTGGAAACAAGAAAGAATTCCAGAGTTAGAAGAATGGATACAAAAAACTTTGTTTATGGCTGAGATGGACAAAATTACGAAAAAATTGAATAACAAAGAAGATCAGGAATTCTATGAGGAATGGAGAGACTTTAAAATTTACCTAGAAAAGAACTGGGATGTAAAGCACAATCTATTATATTTAGAACAATATTGAAACTAGAATATGATGTTATCTTAAGGTGTACTGGAGTGACGAGGGGGGAAGCATTGCGGGAAGCCACGGGGAGGGGGAGAGTAAAGTGGGGATATTGGGGGTAAAAATTGAAACATTAATGGAACTGATGACATGTCAATATTTTCATGAAAAATAAAATTGTGTTCTAAAAAAAAAAGATGCACTATGTAGAGCTGTCCCATTTCATAAGGATAAAATGGAAACACAGCAGTCATCTGTTTAGGCTAAGAAACATTCATTTGTCCAAGGTAGTCACTTCAGTGCCAAGCAGGACTTTGAACCTAGGCCTCATTGGTTCAAATCCAATGTCCTATCCCCACTGGCTTCCCAGTGGCTCTCATCTCTGTGATGCCTGCTTGGAAGTTACTTTCTCATATGGTTGAAATAAACCTCATTCCTTTAGGATGCCTACTGGATAGCAATGAATAGCTCCTTGAAGTGTAAATGCCTCAGTGACATCTTCCTTCTTTTCAAAAGTTCAGACTTCATTACTCGAGATTTCACTCAACCGTGAGTATAATTGTACTGGATTATCTGATTTCTGAAGGGTGGGTTTCCCCCCTCAAAGTATTATGGAAGATATTACAAAGCATCTCAGTGTGTGATGTGTGCTCATGGTTTTCAGCTTTAAAAAAAAAACCCACTGCCAGTTTTGAAAATGTGGATCTTTGGATGCTGTTCAAACTGGGTGTTACTGTTAATCAGTTGAGAGAGAAATTTTGCCAGTCGTGACATTCTCTTATTTAATTTTGCTTCAACTTTGTTTCCTCAGTGGCATCTATTTTCTTCTAGTTAGTTGGTTTATTTATCATGGTCAACAGCCATAGTCAAACATAGTACAATATAAAAATATAACATAAAAGATTAAAAGAAAAAAATAACATCATTAGGATATACAAATCATCATATTTCATACCCTGTTTCCCCAAAAATAAGACCTACCCAAAAAATAAGCCCTAGCAGGATTTCTATGCATTTGTGGTATAAGCCCTAGTGTGTCTTCTTGAGAAAAAATAAATATAAGACAGTGTCTAATTTTTGGGGAAACACGGTAGATAAAATATACAGATCATCATATTTCAGAAATTAAAAAATCATATATTCTAAAAATATAAAATCAAAACAGGGAAGGAGAATTCCTACTGAGCAGGTCTACTGTTTGCTGCGCATTTTGATCACTTGGATTTTCTTCTAAACCACTTAAGTTTTGTGGTCTTTAGAGCGGACTGCCTGTTAATGGCTACAAGATAGCTTCTGCCAATCCATGTTGGCTGATATACCTGTGCACTATTTGAATGTACATACTCTTCAAAGTGGAGATTCCAGAGAGCCAGTTTGGTGTAGTGGTTAAAAGTTGTGGACTCTAATTTGGAGAACTCTGATTCCCAACTCCTACACATGCAGCCAGCTGGGTGACCTTCATTCAGAGCTGTTCTCTCAAGAGCAGTTCTCTCAGAGCTGTCAGCCCCACCTACCTCACAGAGTGTCTGTTGTGAGGAGAGGAAGGGAAGGAGATTGTCAGCCACTCTGAGACTCTGAGTGAAGGGCGGAGTATAAATCAAGGCCCTGCAGGACCTTCTACAGTTCTGCAGGGCCCACAAGACGGAGTTCTCCCACCAAGCGTTCGATTAAGGAGCTGCACTACACACTAAAGAGTGCCCCTGGCCTCCCAGGCTTTCCAGTCTGTAACCTGGGTCCTAACACCGTGGTTCCCAGCCTGTGTTCACTGCATAATGAGTACTGGGCTGGTGCAAAACTATTGACATCCAACAGTCACCTATTTTATAAGAACTGACACTCCTGTTGTTTATGTTCCAGCGTTTTATGTGTTCATGTTTTTAATTGTTATTTTAAGTAATGTATACCGATGATAGGTTTTTAATTGTATTGAACTATTGTAAACCGCCCTGAGCTCACCTTGGCAGGGAGGGCGGGGTAGAAATTAAATAAACAAACAATTGCTAGCAGAAAGAAAAAATTAGAGGCCTTGGAAACAAAACAAAAAAAATCCAGGAAAAATCTGCTTAATCTAAAACAGATATATTTACACAAAAGTTCAAAAATGTTAGAACTACTTTCCTGTAAAGTAAGAAAGATGGTCTCGGCTAGATATATCAATTTTATTAAACATGCACAAGAAAACATTCACTCCAACTCGAAGGAAATTATACCCTTTTGTGAATTATTACAAAAAATGATATGAATCCGATAACCCTTCTATAGACCTTATCAATAGACACTTAAATACAAATCAGTTTTTGAAGAGAATTTAATTGGAACATAAAAATTTTATGGAACATCCCATCTCAATTCACGAGGTCATTGACACTATTAAATCATTACAAAATAATAAGTCTCCATGTGTCATGCCTGCCCCTGCTGATGTCATGCCTGCCTTTGCTGATGCCCCTGAACAGGCTCCTGAGGACCCTGAACAGGCTCCTGAGGACAGTACTGCAGCAGAAAGGCAAAGACTGGATCCTGTAGCTGAAAGCTATCTAAGTGGTGAGGAGGATAGAGCCTCCCAGGGAACACCTGCAAGGGATCAGTCTCTGCTGCAGCCCAGTAATTCATCATCAGACTCGCCTCCACCTGTAACCAGGCTCAGGAATGTAAGAAGACAACAGCTGAGAGAGCGAAGGCAGAATGCACGCATGCGTGCCAGAAGATCTCTTAGCCCTGATTACTGACAGGATCCTGTCCTCACTCCTGGCTAGCTAATGAGTTGATTAGCTAGCACTGTATATATGCAAGTCTGTTGCCAGCAGTCATTTGTGCTGGCAACGTCGTTTGTTCAGGACCTGAATCCTTGCATCTCTGCTCCAGACCTTGTGGAATTCTTCTCGGCTTGATCCTCGGCTTTTGACCTTTGGCTTTGTTGACCCTGCGTTCATCTCTGACTCCTCTGGTATTGTTGTGATTTATGGACTTGAAACTTTGGTATGTCTGACCCTGCTTTTGGACTGTGATTTAAACCTGCTTGAACCTTGCTACCTGATTTGCCCGGCTTGACCTCGGACTGTTCCTGGACTTTTGCTTGCTTGTGTCACGCCCCCTGGTCCTGCCGTGACAGATTGCCAGCACCCACAACGCTCACACATCCCCACCATGGAAGACGGAGCAACCGGAGGTGTGGACCCCATGGAGGAAATGCTAGCACAGGTACAGCACTTAACTCAAGCTGTGATTGCTTTGCAACAACAGGCTGCTACAAATGCTGTTGCTGTAGCAAATGCTGGTACACCTCCCCCACGTTGCCCAATAAATCCTCCTGATCGTTTCGGTGGGAATGTTGATGAGTTCCAGGCATTCCTTGCCCAATGTAATCTGTATATTGAGCTCAGGGCTCGGGACTTTGTTTCTGAGAAGGCTAAAGTTTGTTTCATTTTAAGCCTCCTTAAAGGGCAAGCTGCCAAATGGGCCACGCCCTTGCTGGTGGGGAATTCTCCCTTACTATCTGACTTCCAGGCTTTCAAGGCTCATTTTGCCGCTGCTTATGCCAATCCTGTGAAAGCTGAAACAGCTAACCGCAAAATAAGGGCTCTTACTCAGCATAAAACCTCTGTCGCTCAGTACACCAATGAGTTCCAGCTGCTGGCTCAAGACCTGACATGGAATGAGGCAGCGTTTATTGACCAGTATACTGAAGGGCTGTCTGACGAAATTCTAGATGAACTTGCACGCAGTGAACGCCCTGACACTTTACAAGCCCTCATCCATCTCTGTCTCCGCATTGATGGGAGGTTACAGAGCCGCCGCCAAAACAGAAAAAAGGCTCTCGCCTTCCCCAGCAGAACCCTTCAGACCTTCCACCGGCCTTCCTCCCCCGGCTCCTCTCCACCTCCTGCAGGCACAGAGCCCATGCAACTTGGCACCGCTCGGCCCCGCCTTACTTCTGAGGAGAAGCTGAGACGGCGCACTCAACAGCTGTGTCTGTATTGTGGAGAAGCCGGGCATTTTGCCTCCAGCTGCCCTGCCAAGCAGAAGCGCTCACCACAACCGGCTCCACCGGTAAAAGAGCAGCCCCAAGCCTGACCGGACCCCCCGGTTTGGGGCCTATTCTGGGGTCCTCCAGTACTCCATACTCACCACAGACTCCCTTCCTGGTGCCAGTGCGGTTGCAACTCCCAGACAACCGCTGGCTCTTCATCCACGCCATGTTGGACTCAGGGGCCGCCTGTTGTTTCATGGACATTCTTTTTGCCAAAGAACACGGCGTTCCCCTTCAAGAGAAGGCAACCCCAGCGCTTGTAGAAGCCATTGATGGACGCCTGCTCCGCTCCGGACCCGTCGTCCAAGAAACCCAGCCACTCACCTTGTGGATACAGCAGCACCAGGAACAAATAACTTTCGACTTGGTGAGGATGCCGAGGTTTCCAGTCATCCTGGGTCTCTCCTGGCTGCGCCACAACAACCCTCAGGTAGACTGGGTACATCAGGAGCTCCAGTTCGGCACCAGTCCTGCACCCACGCCTTCCGTGGAAACGATGGTAGACACCCCGTCTTCAGCACCATCGCCAGAACCATCACCAGCTGCTTTGCTGCTGGGCGCTGCGGCTCCCGCTTTACCTGCCACCTATCAGGACTATGCAGACGTCTTTGACGAAAAGGAGGCAGACCAGCTACCCCCGCATCGGCCCTACGACTGTGCCATCAACCTCATCCCCGACGCTCCGTTACCCTCAGGCCGCCTTTACCCAATGGCAGAACCGGAGCTGGCTGCGCTGAGGGACTATTTGGACAAAAATCTGGCCAGAGGGTTTATTCGGCCCTCTACGTCTCCTCTGTCTTCCCCAGTCCTCTTTGTGAAAAAGAAGACAGGAGACCTCAGGCTCTGCAATGACTACAGGGCCCTGAACAAAATCACCATACGGGATAGGTACCCCCTCCCGTTGATCCCTGAGCTCATGGACCGTTTGCGGGGAGCTCAAATCTACACAAAGCTAGACCTGCGTGGCGCCTACAACCTGGTGAGAATCAAGGCAGGAGATGAATGGAAGACCGCCTTTGGTACCCGCTATGGCCAATATGAGCACTTGGTCATGCCCTTTGGCTTGACCAACGCCCCTGCAGTGTTCCAACGCTTTATGAATGACATCTTCCGTGACCTCCTCGACCGCTTCGTGGTAATTTATTTAGATGACATCCTGATCTTTTCCGCCACCGTGCCTCAACACATTGACCACGTAAGGCAAGTGTTGCACCGCCTGCGCACCCATGGACTCTATGCGAAACTAGAAAAATGCGAGTTTCATCGTAAGTCTGTTGAGTTCCTGGGGCATATTATCTCCCCTGAAGGCACGCTGATGGACCCCAAGAAGGTGGAAGCCATTCTCCAATGGCAGCCTCCCCAAAACCGGAAGGATGTTCAACGCCTCCTGGGGTTCTCCAACTACTACCGCCAATTTATACCCGCCTATGCCGACCTCACCAAGCCTCTGACCCGTCTCCTTCGCCTGAAGGAACCCTTCCGATGGACCCCGGAAGCTGACCAAGCCTTCGCCATTTTG